CAAGATCCAGGTTTACCTGATGGTGGGGTTCCGATTCAGATATTCTTGTTACGAGGAACCAGATACAGATCCGGAAAAACTCCTGACTTCAAGTTTTTGCAAAGCAAAGTAACAGCCAATGGGAGTGGTGAGAGCGATGATTGAATCTGAAACCGCTCAGGCACAAGGAAGCAGGAAGTAAGTCCAAGATGGTAAATAATAAAGTGCGAGAAACGATAAACCTGCTCCTAAGTCGTGAGCTCAATCAAGTGTGAGAGCCGAAGAGCTAGTGGGAGCTCCCGGAACGATGGAGTGAATGAGGAGGTTGGCTTTGCTGCAGCTTCCAAAATTGATATGGACAAACTATTTCCTGTCATATTTACGAGGAAGGTCGATCTCGTCGGGTGAGCTTTCATTACCATGGTATATTAGACAGCTGCAAACTGTGTCGTGCTATTTCAGTGAGCGAGATACCCACCTGCAATTATAACCTCATTGACCCTTCTAGGCAAATATTGTTGCCACAAGAAAAGCTAATGGGTAAAAGTGATTATATCACAGACAGTGTTGTTTAATTTGGAAATTGACACTACCTGCACCTCGATCTGAGTCGGGTGATTGGCGGTAAGATGTAATGCCATGTCATTGGAGCATGTCATATCGACGTCGAGGAGCTTCACTGGCACACAGGGCCAAGTGACGCCAACAAGAGACTGAAATCCGGCACGTCTGTAGTTCTAATAAATACGCTCATACAAAGACATGGTCAGTCAACTCTTCCCGTATTCTCGTCTAGTTTACTAAAAGAAAGCGGAATTCCACGTCAGGGTGCTGCCCAAGCCCGTGTATGCCATAAAGCTCAGGACCGAAGCAATAAGAGCAAAGAGGCCTCAAGCGCAAGAGTGACACACCGGTACAAAGATCTCACTGTTTACAATGTGACAATGAGGATCTTATTTTGGGACCATTCAGCTGCCATTCAATGCGATCAGAGGGAATATGGCTCTACGAGGGATGATTGCTGAAGGAAAGAACCTCGTCAAGTAGCAGATTTTGACTTATTGGTCGCGAATGAAGAGCAAAGTGCCTGGAGAAAAAGTTGCATAACTGTCCATTTGGATCCTGATCGTAATTGGTAACGAAGCATCATCATCACGAGTTCTGTGTCCGCAGTGCCACTGGGTAAAAGAACAAGTGCGACGTCGTAAGAGAGCCTGGTTTCAAAGCAGATCGTCCAAAGTTAAGCTCATCGGCAATCGTGTGGCGGGTGGATCAGACCAAGGTCAGCTAAATTTGACTGGTGATCTGTCTTCATATAGGGTACATCCCAAGATTAACATGCAAATTATCACTGTCTGGAAATCATGTTACTAATCTGCCTCTAATAGTAACGTGTGAAGTACAGAAAAGCAAGTTCTGAAGTATCCGAACGCTGGATAAGGCACATCTGGTCTCCACGGGGGAAGGGTCTTGATCATGAGTGGCCAAAAATAAATGACACATAATGATGGCTTATATGGAGCAACTCTTATTCCCAACAACAACGCCAAAAGAGACCGCCTTCTTTCCCGGCTTTTCGTGATGAAACAAACAATAGCCTTCCGCTACAACATGTTCTCTTACACCGGATATGCCGATCCTCGATCCATCCTTGATACCTAGGGACACCCGGGCACGCACTGTGCTCCCCGAAACATACAACAAAAAAGGAAACGGCGAGCTAGCCATGAACGAAATATTCTGAAATAAGTCTCCACGAAAGGCCACCCTGCGAGCATGTTCACATCGAAAGGGGGTCGTGATTTGCATTTCTGACCATGCCTCCGCGCTCGCAGATGTTTCACCCTGGGCTCCGCCGACGATCCAGAACGCTAGTGACAAGACTCGTCGCCTTGAAGCTCGGAGGTCGGTACCGAGCCTTGTACCGAGCCTTGTCCGCGCGTTGCAAGCTCATGTGAGCCCATACTGGACTCTACGTCGTATTTAACGGCATTCCGGAATCTCTACCTCCCTTCGTGAACCCTTATCCGCAATACTTACTTCGTGAATGTCGTTCGATTCCGCAAATTTGTAGGCATTTTGTGAACATTTTGTGAACGTGGCTCGATACTCTTAATCTACAAAAAGGGTATCTCATAACGCACAGCCTCCCTCCCTTGCTTAAGGACATTATTTTTTCACGTATAATCAAATGATATGATGTGGCTTTGGAGGAGAAATTGGAAATGCAAGTCGTGAGTTTGCTTCTTGTTCATTAATGGGTTAGATGTCATCTTTTAAGCCAATACAAATTCAAGACTTCATGGGTAAGACAGTATTCTTTTTATCAAACTTCCTAGGTTTTGCCCGATATAAAAAGTAGAGACCGTTTTTCGTGATGGTTGAAGTATACACCAACAAGACAAGTATGAAAATGCATATGAACATAAATAGATAGCAATAAGTATAGCAAGTCTCCATCAAGCCGAACAAGGATGAAACAAAGACGGTTTCAATGAACCTAATCTCCAATAGTATCAATATGTAGAATCTAATCTATTTACTCAGATGAAAATATGAAAATCATCTATCATGATTTTTTTCTTATTTATATCGTTCATTGATAATCTTTATAGAGCAATAAAACAAATGGAGTTTCTTTCAATTGAAACTAATGATTTTATTTTAGTATGACAGACTCTTGAGAATTCTCTCATAAACATATCAAATTTTCTGTCTATAATAAACTCTAACTTGATTATTAGAGAAATAAAAAATGTGTCAATTTTGCATGTAATTATAGATATTGGCATTTTTGGGTTTCTTTGTTACCCATTCAAAAAGATGAATGTTAATTGTTTACAAATTGTTTCATCAAAATAGTGCAGATAACCATCGTATTTGTTACTGAATATTATATTTTAAAGACAAATATGATTTTGCATTCACCTTAGTGGATTGCAACACATATCAAAATTACTTTCGAGCGAACTTTTTACTTTCACGGATCATCAGGAACAACACATTTATACGATATCACTGATCAACATCACGTTTTTAAAGTAAGCAACAATATTGTCAAATTTTTTTCATATTTTATGAATTTTGAATATATATTGAAAAAACGATCATTGCAAATCGGACATACTGATTTTTTAACAGTTTAAATATGCATGCAAATGAGATGATACTGATTTAATTTAACCAAGTGAACACAAATTCTTTTTTAACACAATGAAAATGATATAAGAAAATCTCCTGATGAAATATTTCCTGTGAAAGAATTCTGAAAGTTAATCATATATCATCCATGAGACCTTCAAGGTTGTGGATAGAGACGGGACAAATAGCAATCTATCAACATGAAATGAATTTCTTGGCAAACATTCCAACAGTTGCGACAGAGTTCTTTTTCCATGGATGGATGCAAAAAGCCTGAAGAGTATATAACCTCCTTGTTAAGATTATACATTAAAAAATGAGTCAATGGGTATGTATACTTCTTTCATAACTTACACCGTGACAATCGAGCCAGATCACAAGTATAAGGTGGTTGATCAATTTATTATTATGTGATCTAGATTACCTTGTTCTCCAACGTAATCTCTAATCCCGGGCGTAAAATTTTTGAAACCCTTCTTATATTTCGTTTTCTCCGTAAAGCTCTCCATGACACAAACTCTGCTGTGGAAGTAAAAGAACTACAAAACTCACGAGCTCTTTCATCATATTATACACCAGCCTATCTGACAGTAAGCGGTAAGGATTGCTAACCTGGTTATGGAGTGCATGATTGAGCTTATAGAGTAAATGCGAATCTAGCTTCAACAATTTCCAAACTAAAATATAACTGAAATGTTAACCACTCCCATATCTGATTATTTAAGGTGTAAGAAAAAAATTATATAAGGAATTCTTGATCAATGGCAGAATACATGTTGAAATAATCTCGCACGAGGGATTCCCACGAGAGCGACTCAAGTGGTCAAAACATAGTCTTGGTGCATCTTGACCACATGGAAAATGAATATTTTGTCATAGTATGCCACATGCCTCATTAGGTAGCTCAATTAGTTCACATGTTACACACAAAAGCATTTGATGCTCTTTAAGATTAGGAACATTTCGAAAAAGCTAAATTATATTCACTAGCGTCCTCTCGATGTTCTTCAGTTGGAACTTAAGTAAAAATTGTTATACAAGCATGACACCTCCTGTTAGTGACACTGAGTTCACTTTAGTGTAAAACTTCACTCAAGTTCACATACCGACTCGCCTCGGTGGGTCATAATCTGACCTTCGCCCTCAGTCCTCGAGGCCTAGGAATGAAGTGGTCAGACCTTGAAGGGTACAGGTTCGCCCTACGGGGTGGACAGTCTCTTCTAAGGCCCGGCAGCCAAAAGAACTCTGACCTGACTCGGCTCTACACTTGGGACCGGCCCTTTATACACTCGGGAAGTACAGTATCCCCCAACGGTACGACCCTGTACCGCGATGTACTGGACCGGGACCGAATGTTGTATCGTGGTTCAAGGAGAGAGAGAGGGGGAGCGGGCTGTCCCTGTCCCTTCCTGGCTAGGAAGACTGGCGGAGGTAGGCAAAGCAGGTGGCCCTGTCGCCCGCTTGGGCGCGCGATCGGCCACCTGCCTACGCCCGCCAAGGACTCGTTTTGAAAAGCAGACGGGGCTCCATGCCGCGGCTCAAGAGGCGCAACTCTTCCGCTCGTCATTCTGTAGCGAGCCATCGGCTCCCGTTAAGCGCCTGTGCAAGTCATGCCCCGTGCTGATGGTAGCGTCCGCCATCGCCCTCGCCCTCGCCCTCCAGCTTCGAGTACAGGCTGTACTGGCTTAACTGCTTCGTTCGCTCGTCCAATCGCCTTTCGCGGAGCAGGATGAACCTGTCACCTGACGTTGAGCTTGATTCGGAAGATTTCCGCTTATGATTTTATGGCTCGTCGAAGTACAGTCTATACGACAGACAGTGGCTCCCCCGGGAAACAATTCGGCAGAGCACAGAAGTTCATCCAAGATTTTCAATCAGGACAAGTGTTATCTAGCTTCCCTTATGCTAACTCTCATCACCGCCGTCTGGGAGAAGATAGTTTAGACTCCGGAGCAGCTGGGATGTCTTGACATCTTAGCGGATGAAATGTTCACATGGGATGACGTCAGTTTTAGAAACCGATCCCGCCTTGGGTTCCAGTGAATCACATGTAGACAGCTCCAGTGTCCAACCCAGGTGATGATGAATATGTAGCGGTGTCTCCACTCTCTTAGATTAGAGTCGAACGTGCAGTGGGCTGATAATTACTGAGATGAAGACCGAGATTGTGAAAGCCTCTACTTGCAGTCAAGTATAAGACAAGTTTTCGACCCCTGGACATTTTTCTTGTCACGAGAGATTAGGTAGTGTACAGAGTTGCAACACATTTAGTGGTATGTCATATCCGAACAGCTTCACGACAACGTACGAGATAAGAGTCTCCATCGTCCACACGAATGACATCACTTTTCATATTCAAAACATTACAGCGATATTTCCACTGAAGAATAAAACGGTGTGACTTCAGGAAGATTCTTTTAGAGGGCTTTCGATCTTAAAAAAGGCTCGCACACTGCCAACGTCAGAAAGAATACATTCACCTTCAACAAAATTCCCGTCCGTATTTCTAATCCTAGGGAGAAACCGATTCTTTTCATGTGGTTCAACTAAGACTCAATAATGGTAAAGTACAGTCTCGTGATTCTTAACAATATATTGTACCTATACTATGCCGGAATGGACGTTCTATTCCAAGTTTCTGCCAACTGGAAGGATAAAAAACGAACGTCCTCGTTATCACGATCTCAAGCTTTACGTGCAACAAGCGACTGAAAAGCTTGGTGCCGGTCGCCACCCTGTTTCCGGACCTGTTGGTCATCGCGCCAACAACCCTACACCTAATTTTGAATTCTAATACTTCTACTGATACCTGTTCTTATACCTGTAGCTTCCCCGCCATATGATCCACCAGAAGTCTTAACATCACGGACTTGTCCCTTGCGTCGAATTACGGCCTTCTCGTGTTTGAGCTGCAGTATCACAAGTGCACAAAAGCGTTAGATTCGTAAGAATGTCGATATTGATGCCTAGAAATATGCATACTTCGTCTTTTTCAAACATTATGTTCGTTTCTTCAACAAAGGGAAATGCAAACTTCATTGAGACTCTACAGAACCGATGCTTCCCAGAATCTTTAAATGAGAGCGAAACATCGAGTACACAACAGAGGAGGTTGCATGAGGGCCCAGGATAAGCGGTAAGCTTGCCTTGTATTTCTTGCGAGGGTTCTTCGTGAGCTTTTTCCTGTGAGGCGTAAGACCTCTGTTCTTCTCCATCTGTTTAGAGCGGGCAATGCAATGTATTTAGACTTTACCACACGAAGATAAAGTGAAAAATGCTAGAATAGCTATGTCAATAATCTTGATTGATCTCATACTTTTCAATGACAGCAGTGATGTTTACAATCCGCAGACAGACAAAAATGAAGGCAATGTTTACATAAGATGGTTTCTTCCACATCTCAAAATGAAGTTGTGTTTAGATTGCTTACCATATTCGTAATATGTCGTTTTCCATCTGCCTCTTCTTCTGCTGCAGGAGCGACCGACTCTCTATACAAGGGGAAAAAACAGATACGACATCAAATATTTAATACATATTGGCAAAGAGCAGTGATGTCCTTAAAAACGATCATGCCTTCGTTTCTGGAATGAACGAACAACGAACGACTATAGCTCGATGCTCAGGAAGTAATATTGAATGAAGAGTACGAGTCGCCTCAACAAACACTCGTGAGATGCTGCTGTCTACATTAGCAGAATCGAGAACAAGAACTGAACACCAGCGGCGCAAAAACTGACCTTGAAAACATTGCAAGCTTGGCAGCTTTCTTTGCCTCCTTTGCCATCTTCACTTCTTTATAGAAGTCGTCTTCTTCGGGTTCGAAGTTATCTGGTTGATCGTCGTTGCCATCATCTGAATCATCGAACTTTGATGGCTTCGTCATTTCGTATTTTCGTCTCCTCTCTCCCAGTTCCTCTCTGACAGGCAAGTCTGCATCACCTGAAAGCACCTGCTTGCACGAACGACATACCAGATGCGATGAGACGCCTTCATACACAAATCTTTAATAAAAGCTGTGCAAACTGCACAAGATGAAATGGCGAGGAATTGCAGGCACGATGATATTATTTCAGAAGAGCAGATACGGAACGAAAAAAAGTCTATCCAATCAGCTGACAAGTGCCCAGGACGCAGTTCTTCCGTCCTACCTACTTGCAATCATACTATACATAAATCGCATCCACATCGACGGTCAAAATTGGAAGGGGTAGATTAATATCAGTAGAGGAGGAACAACCGGTGAAAACTCAGGTCTGGTCTACACTACCGTTCTCCGTGATATAAACAACTTACAAGACGAAGGGTATACATGACACGTGAACTGCGCTATATCCCATTTTGACAAGAACTTGTAAGCTTAGAAGCTACTGCCAACTACCCGTGCAAACCACATTGACAACAAGCATCTGCTCGGACCAGAACAAACATTAAGAACAAACGAAACAGCGGCAGCTGGAACACAATGTTTTGAGAATCAAGCATGTGTGAATCAGCATTTAATCTAAAAAATCCAACAGCCATAAGAGCACTGCATACCTTCGGCTTCTTCGCTGGTCTGCCACTCTCGGCAATAACTTGTGATAATTTCCTGGGTTTGATGAGATCCTCAGGGAAAGAGGAGGTACGTGTTTCTTCATCCATGCCTACGAGGTCTGCTAAGTTGTCGTCAAAATCGTCGAGCAGATCCATTAAACTGCACAATACGAAAGCTCCGTGTCAGAAATATACAACGAAAACCCCAGCAGTTACCACCAATGCAGGTCATAATACTCAGTTTCGATGTGCAGCGCAGTGTGCATTGAGGAATATCGATCCAGGACTATAAAGAGCACAAATGAGAGTCTGAAAATATTCCTTCAGACCAAAATGCTGCACAAAGGGAATAGATGACAGAGGTTGACTTCCGTACCCGTTTCTTGATTGTTTCAACTTTTTCAGCTTCTTGCGCTCCACCTTTGTGAGAGGAACACGAGCAAAAAGCTCCTCCTCTTCTTTAGCGCGAGCTTCGAGCCTTTCTTTTTCACGCATCATTTCCTTACTCTCAGTTCCCAACATATCCTGCATCTGAAAATAGTGAAGCTTCGGATTTTAGGCCACATTATTCTCGTCTTTAAAACACTCAATCATCGACGAGGAAGAACAGAAGCTTGCTTAGATGCACGAGACGAATCACTGTAACTGACTCTGGTACTGCTGAACACGCACAGCATGCCATTTGAAGTATCCTTTTACTAAGTCTTACTCTCCGGAAACAAAACACGAACAGGGAATTCAGCAAGTTGTTGTACCTCTTCAGGCTTTCCATCTAGCTCATCTGCCAGTTCTTTGATGAATGCACTGCGGGACGCTTTACGTCGAGATTCCTTATCTGCTCGAGCCTTGGCCTTCTTGTCCTTAGACGGCTCCTCTCCCTCCATAGCTGCCGGGGCAATCATGGGAGGCCTGTAAACACCACCACCCTCCTGAAGCAATGACGACACCTCGCAGTTAATATTTGCATCACATCGTTTCCATCCACAAGCACATCCAACAAGAAACATAACCAGAGTACCACAAAGACCACGATGGTAGTCGGCGGAGCGAATCGGCGACGGTGATAAAATGTACCTGCATATCTTCATCCATCTTAGAAACAAGTAGATTCGGATTTGGCTTGAACTTCAGAGCATCCTCGGTCTGTTCTCCAGCGTCCGCAGCTGCTGGGGCCTTGGCAGCCTTCAATAGCTTGTCAATTTGATAGTGAAGTTTTTTGTCTATAGGTCGGATCTGCAAGACGTTCCAAACACAGACGATCCATAGTGTTAATGCATTTTTATCATATTTTCCATCCTTTTTTAAGAAAGACGCTCCAGCACAAGTAAAAGAGGCCACCTAGCACGAAAATGAAACACGTAAAACAAAATGCATTATGAAAAGATTATTACCTTTTCCAAGTAAAGTCGAAGTTCTACCAGTCGAGTAATAACTGGATGATCGCGCACAGAACGGCCCTCTGCTTTGAGCATGAGATAGAAAATTATACACTGGCAGTAGCTCAGAAGCAGCAAGTTCTTCACCTCCAAATAACTTATACCGTCTTTAGTAGCATACTGGCCATCCTTCACCTGATATCCTCCAAAAATATGATATGTGTCAGCTTCTTAGCATTGTACGTTCATAAAGTCAAAAAGTACATGCTTCCCAAAAAGTTAACCTTACACGGCTAATCCGGTCTCTTGCCGTTCTCTAAAACCTCACGTAATTGAGATCGGATGAAGGATCAGAGCCTCCAATTCACTCCCTTTGCGGGACTTATGGGCAGATTTGAATTAAATACCTTATGGACCAATGGTTGCACTTTGTTTCGGAGCTCATCAAGCCCTTCCCTCAACTCGTTCAAAAGCCCAACCAGCTCAGGGGCATCACTGGATGCAGAGCAACAGACAGGGGGTAAGCTCTCTCTATTATCCTACTTGGTTTCTATCACACTAACAAACCGTAAGTACGGCTCTTGATTACTCTTCTCCATAAATTGTGCCGAGGCAATACAGACTCGAACAAAGCCTGAGATTGACAGTAAAAGTCATCTCCAACGTAAAACTATCAAAAAAAGGGGAACCACCACAGCAAACTAAAATATGTACTAGACTTCTACTTGGCTGCAAGCAAGTTCACGAACACCATCAAAATATATGCTTCAAAATATGTTTTATCCTTCAACACATTGAAGTGTGGCAGATGGGTCCCTCATTATCTCAAATGAGAATCATCCAATACGCATAAATGGAACATATCGTTTCATAAACTTGGATCAGATTCAAAGAAGCAAGAGTAGGAAGTACCTCATGACAACATTCATTTTCTCCTCGCTAGTCAAGGCATCAAGATCCTTCTTGACCTTTTCAACGTCCATACCGAATCTATCACTACCGACTGAGGTGGATGATTTTTTGCCACGGTCAGATTTCTTCTCTTTCCTCTGGACGGCTTGCTGCAATTATCGAGCAGTAGAAAATGAGTTTCATATTTGTAGCATACAGGCAGGGGTATAGCTGATATCATGTACGCAGAGCTATCCTTCACATTGTGTGAACTAAATACATCGAGCAGGGTGTGACCTGGAACAAAAAAAACACGAGACAGACTTCGCATATTAAATTCGAAGTAGCTCTTGTTGCGACAAGGTAGCTCTTAATGCTCTTAACCTGCAGGGTTTCCTCCCCTCCGGAGCTCTCGTCATCTTCGTCGTCCTGTTCATAATCCTCAGGTCGCAAAGCGGCAGCAGCTTTGCGCTGCAGTCTGAGAACTTCCGCTTCTTCCTCTGCTGGTGCTTCTTCATCACTAGATTGCAGCTGGATGGACATACCATACGTAGTTGAGAAGCTGACCTCACAGATGGAACATTAGGGACAGTGTGGAGGTAAAGAACGCAGATACAATCCACGCAAACATCCATTTGGCGAGATGATTCGGTACAGCATTTTCCTCCGCATATCATCCAAGTCATTCTGCAAATTCTGTCATTATGTTGACCCATAATTGGCAACGTGCATATTACGAAAGGAGCAGATCATCGTAATCTATACAGTTGGGGAGCTTTCGGGATTTCGGAACACGAAGACAGAAGAGCAAAGAGCGACACAAATCCTGCGCTCAAGTCCAAAAGCTGTAGAAACACATACAGATAATTACCTCGTAATCCACGTTATCAGCACTGTAATACAATTTTTTTGACTTGCCCCACGCCTTTCCTTCCTCCTTCTCATTCTCCTCTTCATCTTCTTCGTCGTCCTCTTCAATACCAACCTTCCTCTTCATAAACTTAGCCGTCTTAACCACTGTAAACAAACGAATAAGGGTACAGCCAAGTGCAATTTCAATTCCGGCTATCTTGAAATGATGAACTTCAACAAAGAATAACAGGAAGATACCTGGTCGTCGCAATTTGCACTTTGCTTTCAAAATTCAACTCAAGAGCACATCTACGACCACAGCCCTTACGTTTTGCTTCAAGACCGGTAAGATCCTCGTCACTCATGTCGTCCTCATCTTCATCATCATTCTCCTCTTCCTCACTTTCACTCTCCTGGCAAAAATACGTCCATTACTCCAATTAGTACTAAATTGACTGAAACACGCATCACGTCTCGGCAGTGATTTCATTAGTCAATGCAATGCCACCCAATCCAGGCAATTCCTCTGTTCCATACCTGCAAATTAAAAACGGGGTTATCCTTCTCCCCATCGGAATCAGATTCCGATGCATCATCGAGTTTGAGAAACTCTTCGTCATGTGCCCTGCCCAATCCTTCTACTAAATCTTCGTCGACATCAAATTTCTTCCGCCCTTTCTTCAGTCCTCCAGGGCGCCTCATTTGGACCTTCCACTAGCGCCACCACCCAGCACCCGAGACTCGTCGTCCTCGTCGAGCAGAATCACGACGACAGTGGCGAAGCACTCCCACTGTCAATGCGTTCGGGCTGATGTCGACGACGTCGCAAACCGGAACACTCAGAAAACATCGAGCAGTGAACGTGCGAAGCGTTCTATCTAGGGTTTAAGCTACTTCCACTACGTTAGGGTTTATTTCATAATATTCTATGAGCAGAGCACGACGATAAGTTAGGAGTCGCCTCTAAGTCAGCCGCTAAAGTACACTAAAATTTAGATAGAATCAGAGGCTAATTTAGATAGAGATGATTTGTAGAGTCGCCAGAATGGTCTTCCCTCTAAAAGTGGAAGTAGCGGGAAAGTTGGGAGGAATGCCATGCAACGTCGGAGTGTTTTCAAGGCTGTCCGGTCGACACTCTCGAGCGGACTTCGGCTGATTAAATGTGACAATGCGGAAGTTGGTGACGCACTGGACGTCTGGGCAAGCTTGGGAGATCAGGTGGTGGGGTTCAAGGAGCTGCTTCGGAACCAGCAGCAATGTTGACTCGCTGTGTGGAATTTAGGGCAGTTTGCAGATTGCAGCTCACGATGTTACGTGTAGTTTTGTTCGTCACGCAGATTGTGTTTTGAGCCTCGAGTCCTGGTCATCTCTGCGTTCACTGCGAGGGAGGAGCGATGTTTTTTGATCTCAATTTACCGGTCGATGGAGTGGGTGAGCTCGCCAGGAGAGAGGTGGTTGCAATGGCCTTGCAGCTGGGTTACAGCGGAGTGGCGGCCAATCATTTCGTGACAGGAGTCATGGGGGAAACTGATCGATGCAGAATTCGTCCTCTAGAACTTCAGTTTATTTTAGCTGCAGCACCGGCAGTTGCAGAGACTGCAAAGTTTCATCAGAAGGTTTTAGGTGTACCTCAGGGATTACCATTCCGCCAATTCTCGCGAATCACAGTTTTTTTGGAAACTATGAATCAGGCCAATACGATCAATTCAGCTAACCCTGTGCTCAAGACTTATGATTTGGTTGCCGTCCAGCCGACTAATCTGAAAATGTTCAATCACGCCTGCACTAAGCTAGAGGTGCGTTGCAATTACAGGGCATTCGGAAGTGTCAGATTACTGTAAGCCCAGGTCAGATCATACCCGGTTGCAATTTTCGTCTTTGCCGTCTCTGATTGAGTTTTGATAGAGATTGGAGTTTTTGAGAAATGAAAACCTTTTGTGGATGACCTCGTGACATCGAATGAGGAGCCGTGTGGACGGAATTGCCATAATTTGAAGAGCACAGGACGTTTACAAATTCATTCTGTCCTGTTCTCGATTGTGTCAGGTGGACTTGATCTCCCTCGATTTTACTCAGAGGGTCCCCTTCCGAATGAAAAAAGCTATTGTGAAGGCAGCAGTTGAGGTAACTTGGGAACCAATTGCGAAAATTCTTGCTCTTTGTTAATGGCAAATGTTAAATGCCCTCAGTATTCGCTCATGACCGGCAGCCGAGCCTAAGTGTTCATGGTCACTCGGACTAAGTCCTCTGTTGTGCACACCTAGTTCCGAAAATCGGTCTCCTCAATATATTTCACTCTTTTACGGCTTCTCTGCTCTTCTTACTAACGCACCAGTTTGTCTCTCATGGCCCTGCTCTTTTATCTTTGTCTTTCTGTTACCTCCTATGAAGTACTTTTCGTCGGTATCTTTGATACTTGGCAATTGGATTGCGTGGCTACGGTCTCACAAATGCTAAGCCCTTCTGTGTGATCATGTACTATCTTATCTGTTACACTTAGAGATCTTGAAGCTGTATCAAATAGCATTCGCCAGTGAGTGGCCGAAGGCCGTCGACCAGCTGAGCCATACTGAGGAAATTTCAGTTAGATGGAAGGAAAAGGGAGGAATACATGAAAGTGACGAAATCTTTAGAGTTTGAAGAGTTCTCTGGGATTTCTGGGGAGGATCTATGCTCTATTCGGGCTCTGCTGTACTAAATTTTGGGTATTTTGTCTGGTGTCGGAGATGTATTTAGTTGGTTGTATGCAGACGCAAGACACCTTGCCTATTTGTCCATTTTGGAAGTTTATCCAAAGAGCTGTAACGGTTGAAGTGTCCTTGCTCACTTCGCTTCCAAACGCCTGTTGTCTACTATAGGCGACAAAGTCAGACCAAGTGACAGAACTTGAATATCACAGGGTAGCAAGTATCTATCTAACGAAGTGGACTTGACACCCCTGCAATTTTTTACTGCAATTTATTGTTTGCTGTTCACGATTGGACTCTGCTCTTTACTCCTACTCACTTTCTTCTCAACCTACTAGCTTCTTATAACTTGCTTTCGTTGCAAATGATTGATCTGTTCACTTGACGATATCACAACAGAAGTCTATCTTCTACATCTTTGATTTTCCAGAATGCAACGGAGGTTGTGCATATCAGAAAATCGCCCCGGATCATGTGTCAAGTAACGGCCCACAATTAGCAATTCAAGCTGTATTTCAAAGACCGCAATGTTTGTTGCTCTAATTAAGCAATGCTGCCTGCATTGCTTTATCATATGAACGTTGTGAGGATATTTTAATGCGTATGCTGAAATTGAACATTCCTTGCTGTGATCTTGGGGTAACTTTTGGCCGTCCAAGGTGTCCAGGTGATTGGAGGTTTTCACTGAGTGCACTTTGGTTCTTTTGTATCTTCTTTTTTTTCTACTTGCTGAATTCCACTTTACATCACACAACAATCGCTTTCGTGTTTGTACAGCGGGGGATATATTTTGAAATATGCTACGGCAGAGCTCTTTCGGATCAAAAGGCTAGAAGAGAACTGTTCACAAATTCCATGGTAAGTCGATGGGCTGATCTTCCGCATCCTGATTTGATACGAATTGCTGCTATACATTTCTTAGGATAAAACGAGTTAAGAGTAGGTTACTGTGAACGGATGAGAGTCTGTTTGACTCGAGTATTTGCACTTTCTTGTGTGGACAGACATTGCAAAGTGCAGCAGGTGGACGCAACATTGTAGTATGCAGTGGTGCCCGAAGGGCAATGGAAATGAGGGGACCCAATGACGTCGCCAACATGTCCATTCTCTTTGGGTTTACGTCGGAATCAGCAAAGAATACCATCTCGCGGACCTGCAAGTATGTACTCTTTTATGCCCCACTTAACCATAAAGAAGCAGATCCAGCCTTCAAGGATCAGAGCATTGTCCAATGTTTCTCTCTTCATAGCATGCCCGGCCCCCGATTGAAATGTTTCGCCTTGTAGTTGGGCGGCAGTATGGCCTTACTTTGTGCGGACAGTGACACGAGGTTTAGTATTTCTTGGATTTTGTCAGAAATAGCTGACTTGCATCCAAGCATCAGCCAACTAACGATTCGATCATTGCTGATGCAAAAGGTCGCTGCTTCTCCACGGAATAACGCGCAAGACGCACAAGGGCGCCATTCATGTGGAGCGCATCTCTCCACAGAGTAATCCGACTGAGAGTGGAACATTTAACGTTCCTTCGGACTGGGATCCTCTCTCTGTGAGTGGGGCATCAGCCGATTTCATCACGGTGACCGAGACCACGAGCAAAACTCTACTTAACACGAACAAAGTAGGAACTTCAGAAGTTGTAAATTTTGTCGATACAAAACCCTCAAACGAGGAAGAAATATCTAATTTCGTAGCAAGTGAAGATACACCGGTTCCGCTGTTTGTTAATACCTCACCTGTAGCTGAGGCACTCAGCGCAGCGAGAAATAGGTCTGATCCGGAAAAGGTAGTGAGCAAGAATAATTCAAAACTGATTGATGCTAAACCCAAGGGGAAACAAAAACGTGGACCCGCATCCGCCAGTGACAAAATTGAGGAAGCTGAGGGAAAAAGCAAAGCGAAGCGTCGCAAGAAAAAGAAGTAGGTCAGTTCGGATCGAGGATCTGGAGTTCCAAGCTTTCCCTGTTAAAATTCCGTTTAGTTGAGCATTTTTGTATCACTTTGCGTATATGCTAGCAACGCAGCAATGTCCCATGTGTAGAGTGACTCATCGTAGTGATAATTCTCTACCTGTGAAGGACGATTGTGTATGACGCATACCCGGCCCAGTCGAATTGAGCCCAAAGTCGCGTTATCCCCTTCGAGAATTGTACACCTTGGGTATATATACGAATCCTGTGCCGTAGCAATGGATCGATCGTGCTTCCTTCCTTCTTCGTATCAAATCGGATCGTGGGCTTTGCAGACCGAATCTGTCCAAGGAACTGGAAGGTGGGAAGTGTCAAGCGTCGTTTGGCAAAGCTCAGTAACAGTTGACTATGCAATTCGGAGAAGTGTCGTTGTTGACAAACGCCAATTGCGTGCGCACGATGTCAGTCTGATTGTCCTATTCTGAATATGTGGCGATATGAAACGGAAGTTGTTAGCGGATTCTGTACGTTTCGGTGCGAACCAACCCAACAACGTTGCATCGCCAATGTGCGCATTGTCTGTCTTACATGCACCGGCCGACTTCCGACCACAATGAAAGGCTGACTTTGCTTTGCTTGCTTGAAAATCAAACACCGTGTACAAAGGCTGCCACATCAAGTTGATATGCCTTGACTATATCTTTGGTTCAAGTTGATATGCCTTGACTATATCTTTGATTCAAGTTGATATGCCTTGACTGTATCTTTGATTCTTCGAGCCCACCAGGACTTTAGTTCGCACTAATGAAGGCTTTTCATCTGTACAGTTTTTCTATTTACTATGTGAAAACTGTCAACATTGAATCAAAAGTAAATATCAATTTAAATCGGGGAGTCAAAAAGATAAAGAGTTGCTATTCAACGCGTGTCATTTTACCGCATGGGTACCCGGGATGGACTACATCCCGGGTCGTGGATCCTCGCCCATGCTTCAAACAGGTTCTTGTTACTCACAAAGTTAGTAACTTACAAGATGTCAAAGATGATTACATACTCAATCCAGAATCCCAAATTGGACTATATTCTTTATATGCTCAAAAATGCCTCCAGAGAAACTCTTCCATACATGAAAAATTATCAACACATACACCCGAATGTGGGAAGTAGTTATTAACAAAACTATCTCACATTGGTACAGTTCCAAAAAACCCAACAAAAATTTACCATAAGACATACATCCACGTATCAATTATTACTGCTAATACCAGACATACCTTACTCATGGTCATGCATGAGAATGGTGAAAATCTGGTTTATAATAATATTTCGACGGTTTGGTTAACCAGAAGAGTTCCACCCGTTCTGATCCAACATTGCAGGAATTTTGGAGTTCATTATTTTTGACGTCTTGTAACGGGGTCACAAAAATTTGTACTGGAGCATGGATAAAGTGGGCTACATAGGCGTAGCATGGGTTAAAATGAATCGGGTTGGGTCCCAAGTGATCACTTGATTTTCTAGAATGTGAGGGCAGTTTGAACAACTCTTATCCCGGGAACTGCTTTCGAGACGGAAGGGTACAAGAAGGATGTACGTCCTGCTCACAGTTTTCCACAAATTGTGCATCGTGGCGCACGTTCAGTCGCAAAGTAGTTGGTGACAATGTTGTCACCAACTACTTTGTTTTCCCAAAGCTCTTCTTTCACTAACATTCTGTGATCAAGAACTGAAGGATTCACACCGTTTATAACTCTCCTCTTTTAAGAGCATAACGAATTCTTTTATAATAATTTAGGCAACACATAAATGCCATCAAGTTCTGTCCAACGTCGTGCATTGGGTTAGATTTTGCTTTGTTTACGTGTCACCATAATATCTTCAGAATGATCAATATTCTACAATTTGTATGGGAAGTTTTGTTAGTTCAGACTGAAATCTCAGTCTGGATGCATGTTTCCACCATAAATTATCAAGGCGTGTTGAAACTACTGATGTATGTTCTTCGTTATGTTGCGCAAACTTTTAGAAATGGCCACGGTGTCTTTCTATTTCCGTCCCCGATTATGCAAATTCAAGGCTCATCTCTCCTTCATATAATTCAAATCAATACTACATCACCCGGCTGCAACCTTGATGACAATCATGACGCGAATTCGTCATTTGATCCTCAAAGGTTGATCTGGTGTAGCTTTGCCGGCAACTCGACTCTCACCAGGTGTGGACGTTTGTCCACCACCCCCACCATCTTAATACTAATTGCTTATGTTCATAGCAGCCCCACAATTCTGATTGTTGCTTACCTGAAGCTTCAGTTTTCAATCAGATCACAGTTCGTAACAAATGACTTGCCTCCATCAAAGTCAAATAAGCAGAACACGTTTGTATTATGGAGCACTTTACCAGTTTCCTATGAAAGATTCGTCATAAGTGAAGCAACAGTATTTAGGTAGATGCTTGTTTTCAATCACGCGCAGACAATAAGTCCCACGACGGCCTCCAACTGTTTCTGATTTCTGGTTAGGTTAAATTGCTGCCTTCTCAGTTATGTGACCAGTGAGATAGTTCTGCATGAGGAGCATCAGGCTTAGTTGCTTTCTACTCAGTCCTGACTATTGTCAGTGAGGACGAAGTTCTTGCCGTACGAACACGCTTTCCAGGAGATCTTGAATGTAGACATTATTTTCTCGATCATTGCCAGCTAGGAAAGAGTTGGAATTGATCAGATTTAGTCTGAAACCATCTTGACTGCCAGTTTCCAGACTGAATCTCAGACACTTCGGCTGAAGACATGTTGTCCGCATAAGCTTCATGTAGGAATTGAGATCGTAGTTCAGTTGGGAGGCAGCAGGCAGTAATATTGCGTTGTACGGACGGATGATCGGGCAGGACCTTGAAATTGCACCTCAGACCGCCAAAGTTTGACGCTTGAGTCTGTTTTCTTTATGGTGACTGTCAGTTCCAAGGATATCAATGGGACAGATTGGGAGTTCAGAGGCCAGAGAAGATCTGATTTTAACCCGAGAAGGTATTCACCAGGTATGTGACCGAGAGGGGCGACACTGCTCTGGCCGAATAACGCCGTGAAATATTGTGAATCTCGAAACTGTTTCGAGAGATTTTATTTGATGCCAGTCAACTGGTATTGGGTTTCCAACTTATGGAAGCACATGTGGTTCAAGTTTTGCAGATCAATGACGCCGTGTATGAGCTGCATGCCCCAGCCGGAGTGCCGGACGTAGAGATAGTGTTTTTCCATGGCCTTCAACCATTCGACTACAAAGATGCTCACTGGCAAACTTGGCTCACGGGAGCGAAGAATTCTAACGAGCTGTGGCCACAAACATGGCTTCCCAGGGATTTTAGAAGCGCTAGGATTCTCAGTATTTCCTACGACTCATCTGCACAAGAAGGCAGCGCAGCTGGTCGGACTGACATGTTCTTAATTGGGGAAAATCTGGTGCAGAATATAGTACTTTCTAAAGATGCGCATGTAGGTCAGACTGCTAATTGTCCTGTGATTTTCGTCGGCCATAGTCTCGGGGGTCTCGTCATAAAAAAGGTTATCCTGTCCGCCAGAAAGAAACTAGATCAACTGTCACCGAAAAGGGCCCACAATGTTCAAGATGTAGCGAAATTGGAGTCTTTTCTCCAAAATATTAAAGGTGTCTTCTACTTCGCTACTCCGCACCAAGGATCCAGTATGGCAGATGTCGCGAAAATGACAGATTTTATAAAAGTCCTTCCCCAGAGAAGTGAGGTCCTCAAGTTTCTTACCGTGCTGAATAAAGAGGGTGCGAGGCTGAACGATGAGTTCAGGGTCTGGCGGGAGAACAACAATGTTAGAGCTTGGACCTTGTTCGAGCTGCTTCCGACAATATTTGCTGTAAGTCAACTCCATCCTTCCAGGCGTTGGTGTACCTTCAATCACAGAATCTTCTCAATACTCACGATCATATGATCTTATGGATCAAAGAAATAGATGGTGCCTAGGATGGATAGACGCAAATGTAGTATTTGAATATCTTGTAGAAAGTTTCTTGAATTGAAAAGATTACTTTTCATGGCCACCAACTTGGATGCGTCAAGGCTCACAAGAGGTGGGAAAGGCTGATCTGGCCTTATAGTCTGCTGTTGTTCTTAAAAGGCTCACGCACTCAATTGACTGTGTTTGATACTCTGCAGGGGTTCGGGAAGATTGTTGTGGAAGAAGGTTCTGCGAGGTTTGACGCAGACAAGTTTTATGGTGCTCAGGAAGACCATATATCAATCTGCAAGCTGGAGAAACAGTCTTCAACTTCATACCAGTTTTTTACGGAATTCATCACCGAATGTACAGGATTAGACAAACGAATGCACCAGGAGGATGATTCCCTGATAGTTTAGGAGACTTCACCCTCATCTATTTGCACTTGGCTTCAAGTCGATCTGCAGAAGCCTCATTTTTTAAAGGTTAGGTTGAAGTTGGATTGCGATGACAGTGATCCCGTTCAGTAAAATGTCACAGGTCATCCCATCAGAGCCAGCTGAAATATTGCATCACGCATGGCCGTGAGGTCAGCTGCGATTCGACTTCTGCTGGGAAACTTGCTGAAATCAATTCATTGTACAGTTGGTATCTGAGCTAAAAATCTCCGATAGACGCCAACTCTAGGGTGCGTGTAGATTAAATCACATCACCTCCTTGAAGACCAGGTGAAAGACAGAAAGCCCCAAAGTGTTGTTGTAGGATGTCGTTCCCCATGCGTAGAAATGGATGGTCTATGTTAAAAAGTCCGATGCACATGGACCCTTCTGGTCTGATCACTATGGTGAGTTTCATGAGGACTCAAATCAAGGAAACATGGATACCTTTGGAGCGAGGTTGAAACTGAGATTTACTGAAGGTTGAAGAAGTGTGGAGCTGTGCGCTCGCTCAGTATGTGTATATGAAACGTTCTCCTCGACAACAAACGTCTAGACTCTTCTCGAACGTACCACGAATCAAATCAAAGAAACATGGATACCTTTGGAGCGAGGTTGAAACTGAGATTTGCTGAAGGTTGAAGAAATGTCGAGCTGTGCGTTCGCTCAGTATGTGTATATAAAAAGTTCTCCTCGGGCAATAAACGTCTAGACTCTTCTCGAACGTACCACGAATCTCGTACTATACTGTGTTTCACTCGACTGGAGGCTTTTTGGCTCATCGTATGGAGGTTTATCATTTTGTCCGCACTTTTTGAGGCCACGAGTGTGTGATACGTGATGATGTTATTCTTATGAGTAGTGGCAGTTACCCTTCTCTAGTGTTCCGCACAGGCCGAATAATATACTACTACTATTTGTCACTTGAATCAGTCTTGCAAAGTCCAATGTGATCATAATTTTTAGTTGACAATATGCGACTTCAATCACTATCATCATTCAAAACATATGTTCATATTTTATCAATCAAATCAAATTAAATTGTATAAAACTTGAGAATGAAAGTAAGTCCCCTGTTGAAACTGGATACCTTCAGATCCTATCGAGATCCCCAAGGACCCAAGTGTTTTCCAACTGAACCAATTTGGCATAGGTGAGATGTGTAGACACAATTGAGATTGTAATAAATCTTTCTTTCTATTTGTTTCTGCAATGGACCGGGGAAAGCTGTGCTCCTGAATCTATAACGAAGATCTGGCACAATCCAATTGTGCATCAAGTCTAACGAAGATGAAATTGAAGTGGGAAGATGTGGCTAGTATTCCCTCATAAGATCACACATAAAATAAAAAGAAAAGTAGAGACTAGTTGTCATTCAATCTATGTTAATTATCACTCACACTACCAACCTTTGCTTGAATTCATAGCCAATATTATCGCTGGTCGTGTTGCTTTGGCGAGTACTTTCATAAACAATAGGTTTGTTCCAATGAAAACACACAAGATCTGTTGTTTGACGTTACTTCTCGAGAGATTTCTCTTGTACTGTATGTAGTGCACTTGAATACTTAGACATCTTGGCCCTCCAGTTTAGGTATTACACCATGATCACTTGATCTCTTTTCAATTTGTATTTAGACTCGTTGCCTTCCACTTATTAGATAGTTCTACTCTTAAGTCCACCAACATGGTATCAGAGCGACTTCGTTCTTTGTTACTCTTCTTTTTAAGTCCTTGCAATCTCTTCTAAGTTCTAGATATCTTGAGCAGGTGTCTCGCTTCAATCTATCTTCCGCTACAATGTCTTAGTCTTCTGATCCTCAGTGAGAAACTCACTGACCGTGCAAATTACCACAATTGGTCTATCCGTCTCTGTATCATTTTACGTAGCAAGGATTGTCATAATGACGTCGTTAAGTTACCATTAGGGATTCTATAAGACCGGATGTAGTATGTGTGAAATAGAACTAGAAGTAGCCAAGGAGTTAATTATGGTTAGCTTAGTTATAACTAAGTCTATTAAGTTATAATTATGTTTAGCTATAATGTCTATACTTGGAAAAATAACTAGAGAATTTCTAAAAAATTTGAGTAATCACTTTTCTTTTTTCTTGTACAAAAGTCTAGATTCTTAAAAAGTAAAAAAAAATTTGATTTCATGTTTAGTTTGATTGTTTTGACTAAGTAATCACAATTTCATTGGCTAGACTAAATTTAATGTTGACTTAGTGGCAAGTGGAAGTTGTAGAAGTTGGAAAGTCACAAATGACATGTCGCCATTTCAAGCTATGGATTAGTATACATCTAGAAGGTTTAGGAGTCCAATGACATGTTACCACTTATTGATAACTAGTCAAACTTACTATGGTTTATCTTTGTAAAAATAAGTTAGATAAGAATCATCATTTGTTACTATTGTAAATTCTCAAGTAGTATATATAAAGAGGTAGGAAAGAGACTTTCAAGCAAGTTTGAAGAGTTCATGTATAGAAACTTGTTTCATATATAAAAAAATAACAATTTTCAGTATCTTGGAGTGTTGATGTGTGTGAGTTTGAGTTATACATTGAGAGATTGTGTGAGAAAATGTTTGGACTATGAATATAATGAAGAATCTTAGTCTTCTAGAACCATGATGATCTACCTCAAAGCCATATGAGATAAACCTGAGTGAGAGTCAGCCCGGAGGTTGTAGTTCCTGCCACCAATGACGACATACTTGCATATTGCAAACATCAGATCAAGGCGATTGCACTAATACAATCTATAGTTCATGACGACTTACTCTCTAACATTAACAAATTTGAAGAAGATCACTTCGTCATGTGGCAAAATCTACAGTCGAGATATGAGTCTCAAAATACTCAACGTCGTCTCATTCTCATCCAAACTCTTTCTACCTTTAAAATGCAAGGCAATGATGTTGACGAGTACATTCAATTAATTGATCTCAGCTTCACTCCATTCGATACTGATGTCCTACGAGGAGCTAATTCACATCACACTCAAAGGACTTCCCTCGACATGGTCACACTTTGTTTCCAACTTCAGTGGAGAGCTCACTTGCAATCCTTCGGCCATCTATCATGACTAAGTTGATCGCCTTCATTCGAAATAGTTCTACAAGGATGACCAACAACATGATGCAGACGAAGAATCCAATCTTGTGTTCTGCTTTTTTCATTGCGGTCATGAGACTTTTTGTTCCCAACAATCTTTTCAGCAGTATCGTACTACCTCGTTTTCTCGTGGAGGGGATAATGAATCAACGCAAGCAAACTCGCTGCACTACACCAATCTGCAAGCATACACATATTCGAAGAAAACCGTTGAGTGTGATTACTGTAGTAGAAAGAATCATCTCTCCTTCACTTGCGTCTTAAAGAGACTTGACGAGCAAATAGCGCAAATGCAAGTTTGCGCTGCTACATAGCGAGCTGCCAAACGTCCAGTCAACTTGATTGAAAGCGACTTGGATGTTCCAAGCGAATTGCTCCCCTACAAACAAGTCGAGCTTGAAGCTAATTCTGCAGGATTTGAGTCTCATAGACATTATTTTATATACTCAAGTGCTTCTAGCCATGTGACGAATGATAAGTCCAAACTCTCATCTTTTCAGCCGACTGCTTCCACTTCTAAAATTCCATTGCAAACAGAGCAAATCTTCTAGTTGTAGGAAAATTAATACTTCACGTTGAGGCGAATAAAAGCATCAAAATTTTTTTGTATGTGCCCGGACTCACTAAGAACTTGTTGTGTGTAGATAAGCTAATAGACATCGGTCATGGTTTTTACTTCAGAGTCATGCTTTGTTCTATAAAAGAAGTATCATAAGTCCATATTGTATAGGATTAGCAATTGCTTACAACGAGCTAACTTCTACGCACTCACGGTTCCACTCGACCTTTCTAACTTCATAGGACTCGCGGAAGACGTACCGACTCCGACCATCATCAAGGAGTATTTCACCAACTTGTGGCACGAGCGCCTGTGCCACATCAATCATCAAAAAATGCACAATATGTTGTCTAAAAAGTTTTGCTGAAGGCATTACTTACTTGCAAGTAATCAAGAACAGGAAATGTGAAACTTGTGTAATCGCCAAGCATCATAGATCTAGACGACCTAAACGTGATGTCATACGAACTACTCGCCCCTCCGAACTAGTGCACAGTGACTTGTGTGGACCAGTTCATAAGGACACTAAGTTCAAATACTTACTCACGTCCAACGATGATTACACGCGTTACACGTGGGTTCGCTCTCTTTGTTTGATAAAGTGACACCTTCCAACAGTTTAAAGAGTTTGTAAAGTCGCTGTAAAGTTAATTTTTCCACAAAGTACATTCGATGACACGTACTGAGCACAATTGATCAACTCTAAGGTTCGACAACTGAGGAGAATGCTTATCCGCCAAATTCACTAGCTTTCTCATCCAGAAGCTAATTCAATGACAATTGACAATCGCAGACACGCCGCATCAAAACGGAGAGAGAAAAAAAATCGGACCTTATTGGATACAACATGCTGCGTTTTCAACTTGCGTAAGTACCCAGTCCACCTTTGGACTGAATGTACGCGCGCTGTTAACTATGTGCTCAACAGATCAGGTTCTCGTGCATTAAACCTCACGACTCCATTCGAGAAGCTATATGACTACCAGCTCAATCTATCTCATCTTCGAGTTCTTGGGAGCACTGCATATGTCTACATCCCTAAAGACAAACACACCAAGCGAGATCACAAAACATCCAAATGTGTATTGATGAGTTATGACGAACAATCCAAAGCTTATAGGCTATGGTGTCCAACCCGACAGAAGGTCATGTGATGGTGTATAAACTAGTCCCGGATAATTTCCACTTTGATGCACCGTTTGTTGATGTCTTTGAGAAATTTCTTGAGGAAGACAATGATCTTAAGTCCAAGGCCTCATACCCAGTCCCGCAAGCAGACATTACACTTATGTACAACGATGACACAGGGTTCACACCATCAAGGTTACCACTAACTCTTGCGGATGGTGATTCTACCCCGACGCAATCCTCCACAAGCACCAGAAGATTGCCGTCGCACTTTGACGTCTTCAACATGGGAGGTTCGGGCTCATCTAACTACTCACATATTGTGGAGACCACTGACTCCATCAGTGATAAGGTTTCTGGACGGGAGGCTCAAAATGATACTCAATGTCAAGCAGCTTGACATGAGGAATTTGATGCCCTCACTCAAAACCTCACTTGAGAATTAGTGGACCAACCTATTGGCCAGCACGTTTTGCACTTTAAATGGATCTACAAGGCAAAATCAGAAGTTGATCCAACTAGATTACACCTCAAGGCTTGTCTTGTTGCATGTGGACTCGAGCAAAAGTCTGGAATCGATTATAATAAGTGTTCGCACCCGTAGTTTGTTGGTCTACACTTATGGCAATGATCACTTTATCTGTCACCTTAGGATGGGAGCTCAATCACATGGATGTGATTACTGCCTTTCTCAATGGCAAGCTTAAAGGACGTATCTACATGAACAACCACCTGGGTTTGCTATATCAAACCGAGGTGGTTGCCATGAGGATAAAGTTAGTCAATTGAATCGATCGCTTTATGGCTTGAAACAGTTTCCTAGATAGTGGTACGAGGAAACTAACAATCATTTAAGAAAATCTGGATGTAATCGCAATGAGTTAGATGCCAATTTGTATTTTCTAAGAGAGGGTGACATCATCAAAGTGTTGATGCTCTACGTTGACGATTTGCTTATCTTTGGCAGTAGCAAGAAGAGAGTTACTGAAATTAAATTGCAACTCGGTCAAAAGTATAAGATGAAGGATTTGGGATTTGTGACCATTACCTCGGCATTGACTTTGTGCACACAACTGACGGCAAGATCTTCCTACATCAGCACAAGTACAGCATGGAGCTTCTTAAGGAGTGCAATATTGAGCCACAAATGGTCGAAACCATCCCCTTACCAGTAGGGCTTATATTGGAGTCAGATATCCACACGACATCAATCGACATTTTAGCCTATTGTCATATTGTAGATAAATTTGTCTTTTTAGGTCACATTTGCCGTGACATTTCCTATGTTGTACGCATTATGAATCATTACATGTACTCACCACAAGATTCTCACTAGAGTGCAGTCCAGCACATACTTTGTTATTTAAATTACACAAAAGATCTAGGCATTTTATTCGATACCTCTAGCGAGAGTACTCTCAACACGTTTACCGACTCTGATTACTTGAGTTGCAAAAGTACTAGAAGTTCGGTTAGTTCGTACATACTTAAGTTCGCAGGTGAACTTATTTCCTGGTCTAGCAAGCAACAACTAACTGTGAGTGACATCACCACCAAAGTTGAATATAAGGCGCTCTCATAGTTAGCTAAGGAGGGCGTCTACATTTGCAGACTACTCAACGTTTTAAAAGTTGTCAATTTACTCAAGGTTTCCATCTCATGTTAAGACGAACAGGTGCATCGGAACCTCTCTTCTGCGTCTATACCAACTTTGGCCAACCTGCACTTGTCTTGTCATAACCAGGATGTACTTAAATAAGCCAAGAACCCACAGTTTCATGCTAAGACGAAGCATATAGAGTACAAGCATTACTTTATTCGTGAAAGGATGCTAGAGGGGGAAATTCAGCTCAAGTATGTGAACATAGACGATAATCCAGCAGACCTTCTCACCAAGCCGTTACCCAAGCACAAGTTTGAGAAGCATAGATACTTTATTGGGCTCCGCTCTTTGCAAGATTTACAACGTGGTCAAGTCAACTGACGATGAAACAGATATTGATTCATGAGATTGTCATGCCGAATGCACCAGTGTTTACTCGAGAGTGTATGTTGTTTGACGTTACTTCTTGAGGGATATCACAACTATCAAGTTAGGCTAAGTCCATAGGAAGAGAGTAGATTTCTCTTGTTGTGTAGTGCACCTAAATAGTTAGAGATCTTGGACCTCCAGTTTAGGGGTTACATGACAACCACTGGATCTCTATTCTGTTTTGTATTTAGGCTCGTTGCCTCTCGCTTATTAGATAGTTCTACTCCTAAGTCCACCAACAAGATCAAATCCCTTGATAGCTATATCTTTCTTGTTACCAACCTTGCGTTTGAGTTTAATTAGAACCACGTAGCTCTGACTTAACGCGTAATCATTGGAGATAGTGAATCTCCCACGAAACATTGGAATGTTTCGTGGGAGATTGGAGGTAGAGCAAGCATATTTATTTTGAAATGAGATACCTTAACGCGTAATCATTGGAGATAGTGAAGCGTCCAATGTTTCGTGGGAGATTGGAGGTAGAGCAAGCATGTTTATTTTGAAATGAGATACCTTAACGCGTAATCATTGGAGATAGTGAAGCGTCCAATGTTTCGTGGGAGATTGGAGGTAGAGCAAGCATGTTTATTTTGAAATGAGATACCTGTTACCAATCACTTCTAACCTTCTTAAACAATTTATACATTTTTTGTAGAATGAAGAATAATTAGCATAAAGTGAGGGACGGGAATAATAGTGATGGTAACTAGTCGTTACCTACAAAAAAATTAGAGTTATTTACTTGATGGCACACCATTGGAACCTAAACTGCTTACTGTCACCCTTTAAGTTTCATTTTACTCTATGGTACATCACCGACTATAGGTAACGCATGTTCTAGAATCAACATACGCTACAGACAATGGAACTTTGTCTCGACCTAGTGGAGGTTTGTAACAGCGATTGCGAAGTTGGAAAGATAGTCTCGACTTTGGATGTAGTGTTACAATGATCTTCATCTTCATGGCACGTGTTACAGTTTTTTGCTCCTATCGTTTATCTTGACTCATGTACCTTGAAACTTGTTACCGAGGAGCAGCAGGAGTGAGCCTCACATGTCTCTAGATAGGGCGGGAGTTTTTTGTCGATGACTATTTGGAATGTAAACCTTCTACAGTTGAGGTACTTTTCTCATCTATTCTTGTAAGAGGTAGCGACCCTGTGGAAGGATGTAAGCACCTGCTGATTTCTCACAATCATACGACCTCTTCATCCACAGCTGCCGCAGGCTACGAGTTTCTTAAGCGCAGCATGCGAAGATGTGCCACAATGTTAAGCTTAACATGGTCCAGGTCCGCGTTTGGTCAGTTGCAAGCTGCAAGAAAAACCTCAGTGTCAAATTATTGTTCGACGGCTTGAAAGCTTAAAGAGCACCAAGACCACAGGGAATGTGCTCCGTGATGAAGGTGACCTCAATTTTGACATTTCTGAACCTTCTCATCTCTCCTCTCTTCATTTCTGTGGTCGTCGAACTCTTTCCTCGGATAGTAAACTATCCTATGAGCATGAAACCTTTTCTATGAGGCAATTCATGAGTCTTTTCCGCACAGTGTCGACATTCCTTCCGATATGGCATTTCAGATGTCTACTTGAACGATAAGTCCGGATGATACTGTGAGTCTCACGTACAGGCGATTGAATATATATTGTTTATAATATAAACCATTGTGGACCTTCTTGTCTTTTGGTCAGGTACAATACATGATAGCAGCTCAACCGTAGCTGCTGTCTTAGAGTTCCCCGAAGGCCCTCTACATCTATGTGGAAAATACAACGAATGACTGTGGAATTCGGTATCAAAATTGCATGCTTGAGCTCTGGAGATTTAGATGTTCTGGTTTCAGGAGCTCCTGAGTTTCTCAGATCGGGTAACCACTGCCTTGCCCTGCGCTTGAAGATTTAAGCATCCACCAGACGCAGGGTCTGGTGGATTCTGCTAAACATCTACATGAGTAATAAATGGTTCGCCAATGCTCCCGTCGAGGTCCCGATCTACGTGCACTTTTGAATTGACACAAACTGGAACGACGAAATGAAGTCGTATTTGAAGTGTCTGGGATTATAGGTTTGAATTAATTAGGAGCTGAGGAGCTGGAGTAAGATGTAAGCTAGTTGCGCATTAGAATTAGTCGCATAGTAGCGACCTTGCACATTCGACGATGTTTTAGTTTGGTTTCAATGCTCCTCACTCACTGCAGGTGAACATCTAATTGTGAGTTTTTTACATGGAGTGTGAAGCTTAAATCTGTTCCCAGAGATGCTGCCTCTAGTCCCTCTACTTCTAGTGTTCGTGCGCGGAAATCGTCAAGACATTTCCGGCCTTCGGCGCTTCTTTCGTAAAGGCAAAGAAGTCTCCCTATGGTCTGAAAGTGCTTACGCACCTTCGTATCCATAGGGAGAGGCACGTAGTGCAAAGACCAGAGGCAGCGGGTGCGTACGGGAAAAAAATATTTTTTATGCTTGGGTGGCCTCCCTCCGAATCGTACGTGCAAGATTTCCTCACAGAAAGCTCCATGCAGGTGAGAGCTTAACGGCCGACAAAGACATCAGACTCTCATCATTCAAGGTCCTAAATTCAAAGAGAATCTGATTCTGGTTTGTTTGTGGTATACAAGGATATCTTCCTTTCTCATGAAAGAATCATGTGAACAACTTATCTCGCAACGACAGAAGTTTGATGAGGTTTTGAGTCGGGTGGAATTGGTACGAACCTAGTGATACTATATTTCTGGAGTGCCAAGGTGCACCAGCACTCTAGCGCTGGATGACCGTCAATGTCATCATGTTGACACCCTCTCTCCCATCAAGTAAATAACTCAAAAACTTACCATCTGAGCTAACCGGCCCCAGCAAAGGTTTTTTATTACTCCAAAAACAACAGTAATTTCCGCGTTCCGGAGCAATCTAGCAAAGACTGGCACACAGTGCGACTTCATAAAATGCAATGCAGGAGACAATAGAAGATAACGAACAACACGTAATTTTGACTGAAGCAACTTCGAAACTCCGGTATTAAGAACTTGTACTGAGAATGAGCCTCTCCATAAGGTCTCGTGTCCCGTCAGTTTTTTTTTTCTTCTCTCTGATTGGAAATGGCTCGAAGCTTCAGCACAGTTTTTTTTTCTTCTCTCTGATTGGAAATGGCTCGAAGCTTCAGCACATGAAGACCCGACGGAGCCGATGCGCACGAGACTTCCCGTGAGAGGTGCTGCGCCTTTCTGGCCAAAAAGTTTGAGTCGAAGGTACTTCCGGGGGGCTACGGACTTTCCGTGAGAGGTGGTGCACACTTCTGGTCAAAAATTTTGGGTCGAAGGTGCTTCCGGGAGGCTACGGACCTCGCTTTGTGCCGTGAAGCTCTGACTTAGGTGAAGGTAGTGTGACTGCTTTATCTTTTTGTTGAAACTCAAGACGGTGCGAAATTCGTCACAAACTTTTCACGAGAACAAGATACTATCTCCTCATAGATCTTACGTAGGAAAAAATGATATAGACCATGAGTCTATAAACAGAAAAGCAGGCTAAGAATCTGGAATGTTATATAATTCTCTTTATGGAATAATGGATACCTTTGGTAGCACAACATATTGAATTTCTACTTGGTGATGAAGTCATTGACTTTGAACGTGATTAAAATTCATCCTTCTTTGGACGTTACGAACGTCGTTGGTAATTATTGACCCCTAGATAATCAAGTAAATTTGATCATTCACAACAGAACAAAACGGGCTTGAGTCACACTTAATCTATGGAGCTCAAACCACTAAAAAAGTTTTTTTTTATGGAATTGAGCTATGATTCCGAACGTGATTAAATTCATGTTTCTTTGGACGTTACGAACGCCGTTGGTAATTATTGACCCGTATATACTCAAGTGAATTTGATCAGCCCCAACAGAACAAAAGGGCTTGACCCACACTAAATCTATGGAGCTCAAACCACTAAATTATTTTTTTTATGGAATTGAGCTACATAGCAAGATGTGTGTAGCTACTCTGGCTCTAGTTCCACGTGATTGGGAAGATTATAGTCGCAGGTAGACATGTTGGCAGTTCGATCAAATCGCGGCCTTAAAATGAACTGAAGCAACTGGACGGAGCACAGTTGCTCGGTGACAGAATTTACGACGTTCTGTGCACTTGCCGGAAGCGCGGGACGAACTCCATCACGGTACATTCGGGAGGCGCGTGCTGACGCAACGTCCGTCGTACGCTCGCACTGTCATATTTGGTCCTCGAGGACGCGCCTCGGGCCTTGGGTGCGAGAAATTAAGTTGTGCCTCCGTGAAGGAACATCGCGCTCTGCCGTGCACTCTCTTCCTGACAATTCTCGTACCGATCAGGACGCTCATTGAATTCTACGTTCCGCAGTCGGAGAATGTGGGTGATACCTTCACTCTGCTAGCCCGTCGGTCTGACCAGGAAGAATTCGTCCCCGAATTGCCGTACTCAGCCTTAGATAATGCGTAAATCCTCGACGTCGCTCGGCTCGAGCACCTTCAGTAGATAATTGGACGAGTTCTGCAGTTTGTGGACAACTATGGAATGTTAAAACGAGTGGTGTACATCGTCAGGTTCTCGGCAGCAGGAACTTTGAAACGAAAGTCTTGCGCGATGAATATTTTAAAGGAATTTAATGCTTTTTGGCCTTTGTCCGGGAGCCTTTACGGGGAGAAGTTTTCATTTCAGTGTTGAGTATATAAATTAAGGGGACTTGAGAAATAACTTCAACGTTGGTGCCATATTTAACCGGATTGCAGAATTCTGCAACTGATACGGAGTCGAGATATGGACGCAGTGATCAACACCCTCAACGCCGTCTATACTCCACCGAAGTGTGACCTTTTTGATCTCGAGCCTGAACAGGTCGTCCTTTCCTCAGAGCACCTCACAGAAACGAGATTGGAGAACATCGACTAGCTATCTTGATTAAAGTGTGCCTTTGAATTCTTCTAAGACAAGTGAATGCTTGCTTCTTTTTTCTCTCGGAAGGCAAATTTCGAGTAGTAGTCCACATGCCGAGTACAAGCTTTCCTTCGCTTTACGTGTTTCATCTGAATACTGAAAACATTCAATGCAGTGACACGCTCTCTTACGGTCTCTAGACCTAGTGTTGTTGTCTCCAAACATTTACTAAATCTTAGTTTGTCTTTGCCGAGCCGAATTGATCTCTGGTTTGACCAACAAGTTGTTTTGGACCGTTTCTGCTCAATTTTATGATAATGGCTTGAGGTGCTGCTGTACGTCTTATAGCTCTCTGCTTCTTGGCTCGTCGAGCTTTTTTCAAATGTAGGCTCCTTATTGTACTTCAGCAGCTGACTTATCCAAGACATTTGGAAGAACTCCAATTCTTTTATCTGCTTGCTGTCTCAGGTGGAATTAAACCCACAGTTCTGCCTTTTTCTCCGGTTACAGCATTCGTGTGTACGTAATCGCAGTCGAAGTATATGTGAACTCAACCCGGTTGTCGAATCTCCATTCTTTCTTTCCCACTGGAAAACAAGTTCAAGCCAACAGGTGTTACACTGTATGGTCCTCCTGTCTCGTCTCTTTTCTCCCTTACACTCTTGCTGGTTGTGGTCTGCACTATTTTTTTGGTACTCCACAACTTAAGTCTGCTCGATTATCCTGCTATGAATAGATAAAGTTTCTTGATTGCGCTCTAAATTACTGTCAACTCAACGCCCTACTGGAAGCTCCCTTATCCAATTTGCATTCGTAAGCTCTGGCCGGAAGCAATTAAAGTTTGTTCCATTCTTTCGTCCTCCTGTATATCTCTTTTGTCTATCTCTTTTGTCCCCCACTATTCTACTTGTTGGCTGTGGTTTGCATTAGAAGCTTCTGTGACGCTACAAACTGAGAGTGGAGGTTGTGGAAATTTTGTTATGCTCTCTCTGATAGTATGGTCCTATCGGAATATTGATACCATCTACGCATTCATTATCACATGAACACTGTTATCATGCTCATAATTTGTATTTAATATTTCACATGTCAGGTACATGTAATTTTCCGGCATGGAGACAGGTCCCCATCACCGATCAACTCGGTTAATCTGGATGCTAATCTATGGGCAAGTCGTTTGCAAGAACCCTTCATTCAAATGCTAGAGAAAACCAAATACAAAATTCAGACGCATCCGTGGGGTCAACTGACGACGACAGGTAATGTCCATATTGAAGATCTCATTTGAGTTGATTTGTTTCAGGAACTGGTTCTTCTCGGTTATGAAAGTTGACTTAAAATGGAACTCGCAGGAACACAATGAAAATATCTCGATGTCAGTTTATGAGTTTGCGGGCTTGTTTGGGGCTGGTTGGTGCGGGAGGCGTCTCTAATACTCTTACTTCATGCAAATGTTGGAAACAATATGCAGGAAAAGAGCAAGCTTTGGGACTGGGCCAATGGCTGCGAAGAAGTTATTTGGACGTCCTGAAAATTTCAGCTGAGAACCTGCCATCAAGCATCCAGTTTCGCTCTACCGACTATGAACGAGCTCACATGACAGGTAAGACGGTCATATGTGAATGAAAGATGCCTTCTTCCATTCAATACAGGACTTGCCTTATTCATCACAGTGAAAAACGATTCAAGTCGAATGTTCTGGCAATAGCTTGCTTACTTCTTCGGGTTATGTCTTGGATAGTTTTCTAGTTTTATCCACTGGCAAGCACTAGTGTCTCCTCTCAACGATGTGATCCCCGTTTCTCTCTGCAATAGATCAAGAAGTGTTTGTTGCTAGGATATGTTTTCCTTCCAACACAAAGAAGGAAATTGGGGGTTTTAGACTATTAAACTGGATATCAGATGTACGTTATCGAACAAAAAGTGGTGATGAGATCAAAGTAATTCAAGCTTATGGTGGAGGATGGACTGGAGAAAAGTTCATTTGGGGGCCCTCAGAGAAACTTTTACAGCCACACCGTTTTTCATTTTAACCCACTGTGACTGATGAATTGGTGAGAAGGGTTGTACGTGCTGAACGGTCTTCTGGGTTCCAGCGAAGCAGCCGGAAGAATACCTGTAATTATGCGAGAGAACACAGACGAAACTTTTGGAGACAATGGTTATTTCTATGGGTTAGTACATTCTTCTGCGATGTCGTTCAGTCCGTGAGAGAGCTGCGACGGCTGCTAAAGCATCGCATGTTTATCCTACTCTTCTTTGCTGTAGTTCAGACTAGCTACTTGTAATTGTGGCTGGTTCCAGCTCCCCCTGCAAGTTGTGATCAGAAACGAACAACCTTATAAATCCTAGTCACTTCAAAAGTCAATGATCACATTAGGCCTCGCATACCACCCAGCTGTGACCCACCCTTCCAAGAGTCGTTCAAATATAACTAGAAAATAGCCTTTGTTAATTCAGTAGGTGTCATACAAGGAACGTTAAAATCGTTTTCTTCGTAGGAACCAATTTCTATCTTCATTTACACCTTGACCCTGACCCTTTTCAAATACGAACTAGGACTCCAGCTGGTATTTGAAGTCCCTTTACCCTGGTCGTCACCTTCATCCGGTCATTGAAACCTATCCTCTAGAACAGAGACCAGCTAAGATTTAGACACATCCCGTGATCAGTAGCACCGTGACTGTGTACTTTGGAATCTCAGACCTACTCTACAGGGTGCTTGGCCTTGTGAAGGAATCCATGGATCTTGAATTGAAGCCGGTTCTTCAAGCTGACGGAACCTTCAGGCCAAGTGATACCAGTCTTCTATTTGAGGTTTGTATATTTCTCTTCGAGACAAAACATCTCAGGGATTATGAATGTTATGCGATGAGGACTTTTAGAGTTCACGAATCATTCAAACCCAAATGTGACTCACTTAACATGATTCCGGTGGAATTTTTTTCCCTCACTCATTTCCGTTTTGGTTGTTGGCCTGCAGAAGTTGCAGGCTGGCCTAGGTGCCTTCCTAGGTTTGCCAACCGACAGGCCATTCAATTGGTTGTTGCTTACGCTGGTAAAGCATGAATGCTGCTCTCATTTTCCTTTATAACTGAAATAGTGCTCCAAGGCTTTCAGATACTGAGATGCATTCTTCCAAACGTTGGATGTGCTTGTGTGTCTCCAGGATCAGCTGCTGCGGAAAGGGTTCTGACGATGTGCTTTGAATTGTTCGGTAGGTAGTAGATGCCATCGAATGCGGAGTTAAGCACGGAGACCCTATACCAGGATCGGTAACACTAGAAGAACTAATTGCTGTCAAAACTGCAATGAGGAACCAACTCATGATGGCGTTTACGGTAGGTTGTGGCGTCAGGTTGACTTCCACCTAACTCTAGTTTTGTGGATTTGCCACTTCAGTCATCACAAGTGCCCTGTGTCTCTTTGAGACAAGAATGTTCTGTATTTAGACCGGTTTTCTTCTGCCAGCAATCAACAACTTCATATATTTTCTGTGAAAGAACAGCACTACCTGCCTGGAAAGGTCCAATCAGCCAAAGTCTATGTACTACTAAGAACTACAAGTACAGGCCTCATTAAACTTCCGACAGAACACTGTTCTCGTAAGCAGAAAAGTGAATAAAATCTTTAAGCTGAGGCCCACCTCAGCTTAAAGATTTTAAAGCTTAAAGAAATTTGTTTCTTTGCAGAGGCTTCTCTGATCACACGAGTAGAAACAGGAGCTTTGATATGAAGTGGTTATTTGACATCTAAGGAGTGATTTGGAGAGAAAGGTTTGAGGTTGCTGTGCGATATCAGTAGCAATGATACATGTACCATGGGTCTTGCTTTGTTCAGGAGAAATTGCAGCTTGGACCGGGGCAATTGATGAGGGAGATTGGAGAGTCCATGACCCAACGCACAGTATGTGATGGAGTTCCCTCACTGTATCTCTACTCAGGCCACGATGCTACAATCATGTCCGTCGCAGGTGAGAACGATGGGTAGATTCTCACTTTCTCTGAGCTAAATTGTTTACGTGTTTTCCCAATATAAGAAATTTCCTATGTCTGCTGTAGAATTTGTTTCTGTTCTCAGCATGAGGGGCTTCTATGATCAATGGACCCGCACGTTCATCGCGATCAGGTCGTTGAACAACATCTTAAGTCTTTCAAACGTTCTCAACCCTCTTGTTATTTACTGAAGGATTTGAATTGTGAATATGAGGAAGACCATGGCATTTACGCTTAAACCGAAGAAGTACTGATACTTTCTCTGCACACGACTATGACAGCTAACTTAGGAGTACCGGTGAATGAGTGGCCCGACTACACCGCAAATATAATTGTTGAGCTTCTGAAAAGTGCGGATTTGCGAGAGCAATACTTCGTTCGGGTGTTGTATAATGGAGCAGAAGTGCGCTTGACTTCGTTGAGCAGTCCAACACAGGAATCCAAAACTGTCTTCACGATTAAGGAGTTTTTGGAACAATTCTCGCTTAATAGGATAACGGAAGAAGAGTTTCAAAGTACCCGCAGCAAAACTGAGGACTCTAGTTTCTACGACAACTTGCGAAGGGTCGGAGCTTAGACTGCCTGTCAGACATAAGGGCATGCTATCACAGTAATTCTCGGAAGCCACATGGAAGACGCAAATTAGCTGACAAGCTGTACTTCTGGACTCCGTTCAGTCTTTTTTGCTTCAATCTAAAATCTTCCTAAAGGCACATTCTGTAACACGGTATGAGTCTGCCACGTCTCACAGACCTCACACAAAAGAGCAATCAAAGTGAAGCTTCAGGTGACATATGAAACTAATCATTTGTAAATCCTCACTAGTACTCCCTGATGGTGAAATGTTGAAGACTGATCTTGTAAATGCTTTGTGGAAAGTCCAGTCCAGTCCAAGTCCAATCATTGCAAGCAACCGGATGGTGGAAAGACAGGCCGCAGTGAATACACGAATCTCAAATTGTGATATGAAGTCCAATAGAAAGCACATGCTCAGAGCCAATCAAATCAAACCTACTTACAAGAGCCACACGAAGCTAGCAGTTATTGGGTACATTTACGAGTGGCGGTCGCCATAGCGTCTAATGAGGACTCAGTGACTCCTTACACTGTATGGCATTGCAAACAAAACCAGACCTCGGCTCGGCTTTGGCACCATGCAGTCGCGACTGCCGAGCGAGAACGCGACCACGAGACCTAAAGATAACGGGACTCGAGGCCCAATGTTGTGGAGAATAAGAGGGACGACTTTCAAATTGTAAACGACTCGCGCGTGTTTTGCCCATGGGCCACCTACAGAAAGCTGGGCCTGGAGGCTGAGGGTTGCTGGCCTCTTGTTTCGCACCGTCGATCGTCGATGGTCACAGTTTTACATCACTAGAGTTTGGAGACCACCTTGGCTTTGGATTCCCTGTGGGAGATTATGGACGGAAGCGAGAGCTTCGGGTTCGTCCTACGATTTACAGCTCGGGATTCCATGTGTTTCTCGTGATCCGCCGACGGCACGAGCGCGAGGATATCGGATCTTCATCGACAAGCCATCTTTTAGTTTTGGTGGTATGTTGTGCTTTGAGTTCCGCTGGTGAGGCTTGAAATTCGCTCCAATTTCTCGATCATCGGTGGCAGAGGAGGAGGACGAGGCTCTCGGGATGGAGGAAGAAGAGAAGAAGGAGGAGAATGAAGGTGCGGATCTACCGTTGAGGAATTTCCCTCATTGGAGTGCAGCAAGACGGAAATTTGCTCCTGACTGTTGTTTCTTCTCTGCCGGTAACCTCGAGCGCGAGCTGCAAGCCAAACAGGTGAAGATCTTGCCTCTGACCTGCACTCTACCTTCCGTCGTATGAACCTGTAAGTCAGCACATTAACTTCTCTCATATAACAGTTTAATTTCGATCAACTACGCTGTAAAGTGGGAACCAAAATAATTAAGATACTCGGCGGAGGAGTCGCAGTTCCTTCCGTAGTTTGAATTTGGGCCGAGATGAAGATATGAAGCCCGGTCATCAAGAGTTGTAATTTTTTCGCTGACAGATTTGACTCGATTGGTGTTTGAGTCAAAAAGGTCTGTAGCTGTCCAGTCAATCTGTTGGAAAGTCTCACGAGGGTCAGAGTTTAGCTCAGCGCAGGAAGAGAATTATATCTGTTGCGATACTAAACATTTTCGCAGGACAACCTGCAGACTGTAATTATAGATCTGGAAGTCTTAAATGAGTCTAGGCGCAGCACACTAAAGCTATTACGCCCAGTTTAAGCACCAAGAGTTCGAATTACGGAGTTGTCCGAAGAACAAGCAGCCTTATCTTTTCTGACGAGTACAAGCCTGTGCTTAAGCCTTCCACACAATCATGAATCTCGTGTAGTTGTTTTGAGTACTGCTGCTAACTAAGTTTACTCCTAACACATATGATAGACAATCCTACATTCAAGCACCTTCAAATCGGCTAGTCTTTTATATCATTCGAATATGAGAAGTTTGCTCAGAAGTTTGCTCGAAGTTTGCTCAGTGAAAACTGGGTTTAAATCTGCGTTGTCCTTGAATTTTTCAACAGATTTGTGGGGCGCACACTGGCTTGTTTCAGTATTGCTTTTGTTTCAAAATCTAATGAAATTCATGTATCGCTTTCGCCAAACAGGTGTCTTTGAGCATAACAGACGAAGAGATAGCGGCCATCAGTCGTCTCGAGGAAGAAGAGACACTGTAAGTCTGGTTGATACTCCTTTGTTAAGCACACGTAGAAGATTGAAGCTCTTGGTTTTTTACCCCAGGCTGATTCCACTTATTGCATCTCACATCTTTGCCACGAGTTCAGTCTAGCGAGAACTCGCGCATTGATATAAGTGGCGTGTTGTGCAGGCAAGTTCGGTGTCCTATTTCTGGCTGTGGGGCAACTTTGAGTTCACTGTCAGACTTCGAATCACATTATAGTTCTGCGCACAGAGCAACTTGCTCTGTTTGTTTCAATGTTTACCCGACCACGAGGCTCCTGAACATCCACATTTCCGAATGCCACGACTCCTTCTTTAAAGCGAAGGTTGCACGCAACTATCCAATGGTAAGTCAGGCGATAACCCTCTTCCTGTATTTTATGTGGCGCATCGTGCTGACCAATCACCAACAGACCAATCTTGTGGAAATTGGACTTTCGATTCAGGATTCAAAATAATCAGAACTTAGAAATTTTTATCATGAATTGTGAAATCAAGACGTCTTAATCAAACCAAACAAAGGTGTAGTTCACCTCGATGAGTGCTTGTGAAGCAATCCTGGTTGAGGACGGATGAGTGTAGTAATCTGAAGAACAGCTGAGTATATGCCATTTTTTAGTTATGTTTATGTGCACTAAATTTTAGAACCAAGGCAAACCGTCTGTTCTTCTTATCTCTTTCCTGTTTAAGGTGTAATAGACACAGCACATGAATGATACTTCTAATAGGTTTTTCCTTGTCCACCAAGCTTCTCTTGTTACACCTTCTTCTTCTAGCTGCCACAACGGCATACTGTTTTGCAAGTTTTACGCTCACGGGGAATTTCGTGGAGTACAACGTTGTTGAGTGTCTAAAGTCGTTGACAGTCAGTTGTTGAAAATACTTGTGCTCATGCCGTTATGTACTAATCCTTTGGCTCTTTCAACAGTACGAATGCTTGGTCGAGGGCTGCCCAGGCCGCTTTCAGACGGACGGTCGTAGACTACAGCATCTGGTGGACTCACACCGCTTTCCAAAAACTTTTCGTTTCCACTCAAAAAAACATTTTTCACAAAAGCATCGACGGCGACAGAAACAACACGCATACAAGCAACCACAATCATCTGCAACACCAAAGAAATCAGGAAGCTCGAAGGCAGTACAGAAAAACAGCACACTGTGCATGGCAATTTGTGAAGAGCATGTTCCGGTTAAGTCACTCCACGGTGGTACTGAACACTCCGAACCGAGTGCAGACATGGATGTAGACAGTTTGACCAAAGCTGTTTCGAGGCTAAGTACCTCCAGTTTTGAAAGCAAAACTCCAGCAGTAGTGAGTTTTGGCCGTAGACGAAGCCGCGCTTGTAGCTTACCATCTAAACCCGCTCCGAAGGACTCGGGTCCAAAATAAGGCCAAGCGTATTGAGCAGATTGATTGTTTGCATATGCATCGAAGGCAAGAATTTGGGTGTACAAACAATATTTGCAGATGATGAACTAGACTATGATGATTAGCTGTAGACGGAAAAACTCTGGTGGTGAGCAGACCAAATCTTCCTCTTTAGAAACTGGTCTGCATCCGAAAGCATAGGTCCTTTTTTCATGGAGATGTTCAGTAGGGCTCTCGTATACTTTTGCACAGTAAGGGCGAATCTGACTTAGATATCAAAACGTTTATAACGGATAGGAATGATTAGAAGTTCATGGGCATGAATGTACACAGGTCTATGGAAACTCGCGATCTTCTTACAAAAGAGAAAACACGTGTACCGAGCACAATATTCATGACAATTTTCTGTGATGTGTACAAAATTTCTGTACTTCAAATAACTGTACATGTGACTTATCATGTACTATGATTGCAATGTATTCAAGGACAAAACTCTTTGCCGAGTTTCTCTCAAAACTTTATGAAATGAATCATCAGGCGCCGGTATTTGCTTTGCATCTCTGAGAATTAATGTGTATGAATATGCCATGTCTACACGAGGTAGTGATGACCCCAGGCTGATGCCTAGATTAAGAATCTAATGAAGATTTCGTTGTCGACAGTTCAGTACCTATTGCGAAGCAGCAAGAGCGGGTTCCTCGTCTTCGACACCTTTGCTGCCATCTTCACCAAAGCTGGGTGCTTTGGGGATGAGACCGAGAATCTTGAACATCTGCTGATCTGCATCGAAGTCGTTGTTGGGGGTGGTGAGCAGTTTCTCGCCTGTGAAGATGGAATTCGCGCCAGCCAAGAAACATAAAGCCTGCTCTGGCTGAGAAAACCGAACGCGACCAGCTGACAAGCGAACCATAGCCTTCGGCATCACAATGCGGGCCGTCGCAATCATTTTGACCATCTCCCAGATCTCCACGGGCTGAGCATACCACATTACAGGTTGGCCGTATATCAGAACAGACTTGCAGTCTCCAGTAACAGAAGTAACAAGAAGCAAAACTTTCATCAGCCTTAATTACGACAGAGTTTGTCATAGAGAAAAAACTAAAACTGAATCTGCTATGTTAGTTGTTGTAGTCCACCTTTTGGTTCTCCAATGGTGTTCCTTTGACGGCCAAAAGAGCATTGATTGGTACACTCTCCGGGTGCTCCGGAAGTGTGGCCAAAGTATATAGTAGTCCCACTCTATCCTCGGCCTGCTCGCCCATCCCGATGATACCACCTGAATAAAATCATGAACTTGTAAAATTATTACCTGTACCCATTTTCCAATACTTGAATCCGGATTTTAAGAAGTGGATGTATGAAAAGTGGAATTTCCGAACTCACACATCCTGTCAAACACCTCGAATGAAATAATCGGGATACACTTGCCCTAGAGTATCACCTGAGCAAACGCTGATTCCTGCGTCTCTTACTAGTTCCAACGTCTGCAACCGTTCATCGTAGCTTCTTGTGGTAATGATGTTTGGGTAGAATTCCCTAGATGTATCTAAATTGTGATTGTAAGCTGTTAATCCTGCGTCTTTGAGTTGCTCTGCCTGCTTCTTCTCCAGCATTCCAAGGGTGCAGCACACCTCCATTCCCATTCCTCTGCACATCAGCCAGTTCATTTGAGTGCCCATAGGAAGACCTTCTTTTAAGAGGCCGTATGTATTACTGAAGTCTGTTTTATGAGAAAACGTTGCTAAATCTTCCTTCATATTCAGGCGGAAGCAAGACCGCCTTCGAACAACAAAGAGGGTGCTGAACTCAAGAAACTGACTCTAATGACCAGAGATCAAACAGGAAAAGAAGCTTGCAGCATCCATCTCTGAATGAATTAGAGATGTCGATCTTTGTCGCACCTGATTTCTTTCACGTATGTAAGAATTTGGTTAAAGTTCGTCTTCCTCCCAACCGTATCACGCCATGCGGCACCCATACAAAACCTTGTGCTCCCCGCCTCCTTCGCCTGTCGATCAAATAATCGAGATGTTTGCTATATGTGAGACTTCTACAGCTTAAGGTCTCCCTACCCACATCCCTTGACTATAACGATCTACCAAATTATGAAAGAGCTTTCATCGAGGGCGGCATCCACACTGTACATCAGGGTAATCATCAGTGTTAGAAAGGCGAGAAACTTACTTTCTTAGCAGCCGTCAATACAGCGTCTTCGCTTAACATTTTTTGGGCCTTCACTTCAGTACTGTATCGGGATGACTGAGGACAGTATGAGCAGTCTTCTGAACAGCCACCTGTTTTGATCGAAAGAAGAGTGCATTGCTGAACCTCCCTGAATCTGTGCGAATGCCTGTGAACTTGTGCCTGCAAACAGAGAGCCACTTTTGAGTTCGTACCAATCAAGTTCACATAAACCAAAAATGCTTCATCTGCAGGGTAGTCCTACATTGCCAACTCTGCCTTCTTCAAGAATTTGGACATTTCATACCCGTGCACTCACTCCAGAATCTCAACTTCGCACGAACAGATTTCACACATTCAAACTGGAGAAACTTTGTCTCCGGACAAAGATTAGCAGGTATCCGCTCCACGTGCAAGGTGCGTATGAGAGACTAGAAGACACTTCGTAAGTCTCCTCCGAAACTCCTCCGATTCTACCCAGTCCTATCTGTGCTCACCTGACCCTGAAGCGATGCGGGAGGGGATTTTCGTAGGTTCGATATTCTTCGAATAAATTAGCAAGATTCGCATGTTTTCGGTGTATACTTCACGTAGGCATAAGACTACACAAATCTGGAAGCCTACCCGGTCTTACACCAAAGATGACACAACATCCATACGATCTCAAGCCCAGGACAACATCTCGTCGGCAAAACAAAGAATTCTGCTGTTTCGGCATATTCCGATCAGCTGGACTCGGGTTCGAAAATGCGAGATAAGAGCCAGAATAAGACTCACCCCATAGAAGAGCAGGTCCAGAAGCGGAGAATCGTAGATGGCCTGAATCTCCTCGCGCGACCAATTAGTCCTGGGTCCATCGCGGATCGTCCTCTCCGCAGCAGCGCTAGCGGCGGAGGTGTAGGAGAAGGGAGCTGAAGCAGCAGCCGCGGCAAATGGCGACACCGGGCTATCTTGAGAGACGAAAGACGTCTCGGCGGAAGGCTGTCCGGACGGAACGGAAGACGAGACACTTCTTATCGCGCCCGGCAGGCTTCGACCCACAATCGGCCCGGAATTCCGAGACCCAGACGACGACGACGACGACGAGGCCAATGTCGGGCGAATTACCGAGGGCAAATGCTGCCGCACTGCCCTCCTCAACGCCATTATACCTCGCGTCAATGCACTCCCTCGCTCCTCCTACTCACACCACCACCTCTCCCCTTCTCAATCACGAGCACAAGCACGAGAACGAGCAGCAGCAGCAGCACTCGAGAGTGGAGTGCAGGCCTCGAGAATGTGCCGACGATTGCTGCTCATGCGCGCAGGAGGACCATGAACACGGTCCGCGATTTCGGCCCCCACTTTCTTCGGCTTCTCCGCTCGCTCACCTGCCTCGTACTCCGGACGGGAGCCAATTCGTCGGTCCCCGGAGCAGGACCCTCTCCCCTTCTGACTGCTTCGGTCCTCCAGCCCTTTTGTCGTATCCCTTCCTGCCCTCCTGCCTCTATCTCTCTTCGACGGGCTTCGTTCGTTTCTTCGTCCCTTTCGTGATTCCTTTTTTTGCTTCTTTCGGTTGTTGAATTCTTGCTGACTTTCCTTCGATGTCTTGCATTCACATGCCCTCCTCGGTCCGGGGATCAATCTCGTCTATTGTGATGAAGTGTTCAAGGTTTCCTCCGATGCTTGCGCAGGGAATCGATACGGAGGTTCTCGAATAAGTGTGGTCAATAGAGATAATGGAGATAGTGATTTCTTAATATCAGAAACCAAGATAGGACAAGTTCATCGGAAAATATTTCGCAATCTAAAGATAATTATCAGATTCGAATTTCCATATGTAGTTTCATGAATAGAATCATTTTGGTTCTGAAAGTGGTATTTATGTAAGGAACCGAGTTACACATTCTCTATATGCATGTAATCTTGAATTATTACATAGACAATGTCTTGGCTGCTTAATGAGTAGTACCACCACCATGGATGTGTCTACATCTAATAATTTTGTTGATCCAACCCTTAAACACTCATTATTTTTTTGCACAAAATGGTTACTTTTTTCACAATATATGCTTGTGAGTAGATTCACACTAGTCTACAAAGAATATATATGTAGCTTTGAGTCTAAGTCTCATTAAAAATGTCATTCTATAAACAAATGTCATCTTTGCCACAATTGAAATTGAACAAATGCCATAATTATTTATAAGTTTGCATGCATTGTTTAACCTTTATTTAGTGCATGCAACCAAAAGAGCAATTGAGTCGTGTGTGGGATTATAACACGTACTATCAGTTTGATGCCACATGAAATGACAATAGATAAAAAAAACATAACATTCAAAACGACCTTAAATTACAAAGTATTTTGCATGCAGCAATAAGATGAAAATTCTTCATTGTCAATTTTGAATCTTCAATGGAAAGTAGAATTCGGAAGAAGCTCACGCAAAAGCGCATTGAAAACATTCAACTATTTTACTTTTTGTTTTTATCTAAGCTATGCAAAAAGCAAAATGAGACACAACATGAAAACCATTGGACATCATATCAACATTCGTCTCTTAAGATCAAGAATAAATATTTTGATGAAACATTCAACGATGAAATACATATGTATATATGGATCTGAAGCGAAGATTATTACTTTCAAGATCTGCAACTTGAAAATAGCCAAAAATAACTGATGATATTGTTAAAAAAAATTTCTTCAAGCTTTAGATAAATAGCAGGAGCAAAATGAAATTGATCTCAAAGACAAATGCTATGAAGTTGTTCATACTAAAAATCAACAAGTATGTTGATAAGTACAAGTGTCATTCTTCATCTCAACATGATCATATTGTTAAAAATTTACTCTTCAAGCTTTAGATAAATAAAAACAAGAGCAAAATGAAATCGATCTCGAAGACAAATGCTATGAAGTTGTTCAAACTAAAAATCAACAAGTATGTTGATAAGTACAAGTGTCATTCTTCATCCCAACATGATCATATTGTTAAAAATTTACTCTTCAAGCTTTAGATAAATAAAGACAAGAGCAAAATGAAATCGATCTCGAAAACAAATGCTATGAAGTTGTTCAAACTAAAAATCAACAAGTATTTTGGTAAGTACAAGTGTCGTTTCTCATCCCAACATGACTGAAAACCTTCACTTGACTGTTTCCTTTACATGCTCAGGCTGGCACCGCACAACCCTGACGTCTACTATTTACGAGAGGCGGAGCCATGTTAGGAGCAAAAGAAGAAGTGAGACCAAGGAATGGCACGCTTATTGGACATCTCTTTCATACATTTTCATGCCTATGTGCCCATGCCACCAGATGCCCAAAACTTACACCATGATTCCAAAACAAGAAATTTTCAGCGCAAGGAGTTCCTTCGCCGCATTTCTCAAGGATGCTTGCAGCAATCTCCTCACCAGTGGCGGAGCCAAAGCAAACCCTACCCCTGAAAACGCGGGACCGAAAAACCACATGTGCGAAGTTCGATCACCTTACCATTCTTTCTCTCTAGTGAAAAAACCAGGTACGTGGCAGTCCAACTGTTTGTTTGATTGAAGATATTCATACAGGCAGGCTTTGTAGGAGCACTTTGTTTCTCTATGCGTCTGTTCCATCTGTTTGTTTCATTCAAGATACTCATCCGGGCAAGCTTCGTAGGAACACAAAAAATATTTGGAAAGTTCGCGGAGAGCAGAGACTTTCTTTCGCCGGCCAGTTAGTCACAGCGGCAATCAACATCCACAAACGATCTGTTTGTAAGTTAGATTTTCACATTGAATTGTTTGTAAGTTAGATTGGTTTTTCACATATCACTGAAAATGATGATTTTACTGAAAAGAATACTAGACATGTTTGATCTATTCAAGTAGATGAACCGAATGCAAGTAAATGCAACAATCAGAGATTTTACTGACTTAGAGTGCTTCCCTTGCACATCAGCATGTGCAAGGTTTGAGTATGTGACAGATCAAAAGGTAACAAATTTTACTCTCTTAGCCATCACATTAGTGTGTCCATCACGTAATTTTCTCACTATTCTAATACTAAGCGGTTTCTCACATATAATTGGAAGGAATTGAAAATAATATTTTTATTGAAAAGAAGCCTAGACATGTTCAATCGATTCAGGTTGATGAACCGAATGCAAGTAAATGATAAAATCGTAGATTTTATTGACTTGGATTGCTTCCCTTGCACATCAGCATGTGCAAGCCCTAAGTATGTCAAAGCATTCGGTTTTAACGCACCTCTACCTGAATTTTGTACGGCTTCACAAAGCCCTGGGGCCAGACGTATCAACTTGATTGCTTGACATGTCAAACATTACATGTTTTATAGATCATTTGCATTTTAACTATGCTTTATAGACCATATAAATAGTCTCTGTTGGATTTGTTGATATATATATATCAGCTGTCTTCATATGCTACGGAGATTGTCCATGCATATAAAATGAAGGCAATTCACTTCGAGTTGATGATATTAGTTATGTCATGATTCATGAGTTTCAACCATCATTTCGGACTGGGAGTCCATCCGTTATTGTATGACTCGGAAGCTTTCACAAATTTTGAAAATCTTGATAACATTTTGATGAGACTCTAATTATGGCATGCTCTGTTGATATGTTTCTCCAAGACTCCTCACCCAAGAGTCTTGGGGAAACATTTTCTACACTTTCTCTGATCTCATTATTCAGTGAAAGATCGAAAGGTAACAAATTTTACTCTTTTAGCCGGCATTTGAAACTTTATCTTTGTTACTATGGTTATCATTGTTTTCATTCAACTCCATTAGCAGCATCGTAATGTGGACTACTTATGAACAGAACCTGTTACTAATTTTCTGATCTCAAACGAGTATGTAGACCTCATAAACATACTTCAAACATAGTAAACAGTACATGTATTGTTCCCTACGTCTAATTCGAAAGTTCCATGTACATTTACAAGAACTTAAAGAACCAATTGTTAGATTCATTCTTATACAGTTTCTCAAAGAGTACACGTTTGCATCTGAGATATGATAGAGTTAGTTTTTGTGATATTTTTGAACGTAGTCTATTCTCATTCATCAAGTGAATATTGTCTTCTTTTCTTGAATCTTGACACTCTCTATCTCATGCAAAAAGTCTGACGCTTTTGTTTTCTCTGTTTGGTTGGTTTTGTGGTTGGAGAAATCAAGTTCGTCACTCTCAATGATGTTAATATTTCTTGCATCAAAACGTCAATGTCCAGAGGATCTGTTAGTGGCCACGTTGGAGCGCGATCCAGGTCTGAGAGCAACCATTTCATCCTACCCAGCCTCTTAGAGGGATAGAATTTGGAAAGCTTACATATCTAAGGGTCATTTCAACCACGACTGTCAAAATATACTCCTATAAAACAGGGTGGCAAATTTTGTTTTCTGTTTTCAATGGTTTGCTTTGCATCCTTGACTTGATTACAGCCTTGCAAAGTATGTTGTGTAATGCTTTCCTTGTAATTTATTTGCGCAAGATACGCAGGCTTCAAGACAATTTGTTAGTGAAGATGTTGCAAGTTGGAACAAAATTACTGGAAAAGATTGTAAATTGGCAAAACATGTCGGTAAACACACTTCAGCTCACTCTTTGCACTTCGTTGCTTGGAAGTCATTATCAAACCAGCGTTCTTCAATTGAAGCTACACTAGATCGTCAATCTCAATAAGAAAAAGCTGATCATAGACTTTGGTTGACAGCACTATCGAGATAGTGCAATTTCTGCCTCATCAAAGTATTGCTTTTTGTCGTCATGACGAGTCTAAAGAGTCATTTAATCGTGGAAATTTTCTTGAGCTATTAACTCTTCTCAATCAGCATTTTGTAGATTATCAATGTGTTTGACTTGATCGTGCACCAAAGAATGCGACGATGACATCTCCAGACATCTAGAAGAATAAACTAAGGGTTATGACTTCATGTGTAAGAAAACATATTGTGAAGCAAATCGGTGACAGTTTTTTTTGTTTGCTAATTGATGAGGCGCGAGATGAATCGACAAAGGAACAAATGTCTTTGGTTCTAAAGTTTATTGACAGTTTTGGAGTAATTCATGAGAGGTTTTTGGATATGAATCATGTTGTTGATACACGTTCAGAATTGCTAATGGTAGTCATTGTTTCCACTTTGAGCCGACACAGTCTTTCATTATCCCGTGTACGAGGACAAGGATATGATGGAGCTTCTAATATGCGTGGAGACATTAATGGGTTGAAGACTATGATCCAAAGAGAAAACTCCTCAGCATACTATGTTCTTTGTTTTGCACACCGACTTCAACTTGCTTTGATATCAGCAACCAAAAATCATATTAAAGTTTGCCGGTTCTTTGTTGAATTCTCATCATCATGTGTTACAATAGGTGCTTCTTGTAAACGTGCGGATCAGTTTCAAGAATTGCAGGCAGCTAACATTCGTGATGCAATTGTTGGCAAAGAAATGAAAACAGGTCGCGGATTAAATCAGGAGCAATCAGTCCGGCGGCTAGGAGAGACAAGATAGGAAACTCATTTTGTTTCTATTTGTCGAGTACTTGATCTATATGATTTAGTTGTCAAAGTTCTTGAAATTATTGTGGAAGATGCAACTGTTACATATTCAAAAGCAGAAATGTCTAGATTATTGGAAGCGATATATTGTTTTGACTTTGTTCTAATGTTACACATTATGAAGGCGGTTTTAGGCAAGTCTGTAGTTCTTTCGGAAGCTTTACAGCGTACGAACCAAGACATCCTCAAGGCTATAAACCTTGTTGCTTTTTCAAAGTATGAATTGCATGAAATGAGATAAGAAGAAGTATGGAAGACGATATACGAAGCGGTTCAATCTTTTTGTCTCGCAAAAACCATCGTTGCCTCTAATATGGAATCAAGTTATGTGCTTATGGGACGTCCTTGTTGCAATGCTGACAGCATTAACTGTGATCATTATTATCTTGTGAAGATCTTCTTCAACATCGTAGATTCACAGTTAAGTGAGCTTGATGACCGTTTTCCTGAATGTTTATCTACATTGCTCGCATGGATTGCCTATTTATGCCTAGATTACCTTCGAAATGGAAATGTCTCAGAGCTAGTTGAGTTGGGGTGGATGTATCCACATGACTTTGAACAATATGATTTGATGATGTTAGAACAACAAATTTTGCAATTCAGCATAGAGTTGAGGTTAAACGAAGCTTTTTTTGGAATTCAATTTTTTTATGCTTTAACTATAACCATGTTTGAACTCTAGAAGTTTGTTACTTATCATCTTGTTTTTTGACTAATTAGTTTGGTTTTAATTTTACCTGTTGGCACTGCGTCAACAGAACTTTTGTTCTCAGCATTGAAGATTGTGAAAATGCAGTTGAGAAACAAAATGAGAGATGTGTACCTTGCTGACGCTATTAGTTTGTTTGTTGAAAGAGAGTAAGCACAAGGAATCACCACCGACATTATTATCAAAAAATTTCAGGCGCTGAGCACTAGACGTTGGCAGTTGGATTAATACATTGAATTCGGATTTTTTACAATTTGGATTTTTTGTTTTGAATTCTCTGTCATGAGTGACAAGAGTTTTAGTTTTATTACACTAATTGGATTGATACATTGAATTTAGATTGTTTACAGTTTGGAGTTTCTGTTCTGTATTCTCTATCACGAGTGATAGGAGTTTTAGTTTTATTACAGTGTAGTTAGATTAATACATTGAGTTTAGATTTTTTTTACGGTTCAAATTTTCTTACATGACTTACAGGAGTTTTAGTATAGTCACAGTGTAGCTAGATTACTACATTGAGTTTGGATATTTTTCAATTTGGATTTTCAATTTTGAAATCTCTACCATGAATGACAGTAGTTTTGCTTGTAATAGAGTTATTTTATTAAAACACAGAATTCGATATTTTTATGCAATTTAGATCTACTTTTTTGTTATGGTTTACCTGAATGTTAGATTTAACAAAGTGCAGTTGGATTTATACATAGAATTTGGTATTTTTACAGTGTGGTATTACTTTATTGAATATTCTATAGTGGAGTTTTGGTTTTAACACAGTTTTGTAACAGAATTAGCCAAAAAAAATTTGCCTGCGGCACTAACTACCAAGCTGCTCCCATCTTGAAAAATCCTGGCTCCGCCCCTACTCCTCACATACGAAGCGAAACAGAAACAAGGAAAAAAATTTTGATTGTCAGCTGGGCTGCTTGCCTCTTCGTCTAGGCCCAAATCCGGCAAAAACGCATTGTGCAACAACTATTGCTCGAGCTGCCTCGTCAGGTACTAGACAACCAGCACCAAATTTTTGTTTATTCCTTTTGAAAGTTTTTCTTCTGCGTGCTTCAATTGGAATGGAGTGGAGCAGTCGTGATGGTCTTGCTCCTCCAAGACGAGCCTAGCTGGATGATGATATCTTTATTATCGCTCTGATACATCGAAGTGAAATGACTGAACGGAAAAAAACATGTTAGAAACTCTTAATCGAAGACTCGGCTCTGATACCATTTGTAGATGTAAAATTTGAAATTCATCAATCAATCATGAGAGACACATGTAATGTGATTCACCCTCAGGGAGAAGGGCTATGTCCACCCAGAACTCGAGCACTTTTACTTCAAATCATGTCCAAAAAGACGTAATACACAAGGAGCACTCCGAGGTATTTATCCCTTGTCTATGCGACCGTCCTAGTTATAAATAGCTAAGATATGAGGTTACTCTTTAAATGGAGTTAAACTCAAGAGATGTATGAGATTAGATTAAATCAATCCAAAAGTATTATTTGAACGGATTGGTAATGTTAAGATAGTTTTGTGGAGATTCGACAAGGATTTTTGCAAACACATGCTCTACTACTTCGTCGTGAAATTGAAAAAGTATGATTGTCAAATAAATTTGCACAGATTGTCTCTTGTCGTCATCATGAACGCTATGCAATATGACGTATTAAAATCTTTATTTGATTATTTCAATACATAAGACACAAATGCCACTTTTCAAAAATGTTGGATGACACAATAAACAAAAATGTGGCAAAAGTGTCAAATGTCACTTTTAATGAATTTCAGTTTAGACTAACCCCTTCACGTAATAGAAATGTTAACAACAATGATCTATATTACTCATATGCAACAATTGTTCAAACCATGGGTAGTCCAAGACTTGAGTTATATCATAACAATAATGTATATGAAACAAAAATTAGTATCAATAAAGTTTGTTCATAGAATAATGTACGTAATTTTGCAATTATGTAATTTTTGTGTTTAAAATCTACATTTAAGTTGTTTAATTTGATAAATGTTGGCTACAAATGCAATCATCATTATCTCATCTTGTATGTTAAAACCATGGAAAATAAGAATATAATACACTTTCATCAAAATTGATGTTTGTTATAATGAAATGATATATATAAGTTTCAATTTTTATTTTAATAACTCTTGTATTTTGATTTTTAAAATTATTATCTTATATGTGTATCAATTATAAACTAACACATTCAAATTTTTGATTTCATACATTTTAAATAAGTTTTTTAAAACATATTTTATTTAAAATTTTCAATAGAAAATTTTATTATTTTATATAAATATGGATATAAAAATCAACACATTTATATACATTATAGTTTATATGCTATATATATAATACATCAAAAAATTAATAATACACATTTCTATCATCTATTAATAACTATGATCAATCATCACATTTAGATTTACAATTGTCCTACATTATGAAAATGTTTACATTTTATGCTCTTTCCAATTTGTAAAAAATATTTCATATCTCTTTGAAGATGAATTTTTATCCATGGATTGCAATAAACATATCATAATTTTCAAAACTAGTAAAATATTATTGTTTATATTTTATGTTATTCATAAGTTTGCATAATTCCAATCAATAGTGATGAGGCACAAAAATCAATATATTAATGATGTGATGAACATACATAAAATACACATGAATTGTATTAATCAGATTAAAATTTCTTAAATTTACAACTCTAAAAAAATATTTTATTTCATGAAATTTATTTATGGTTTTAAAGATTATTTATTTTTATTGATATTTTATATTTTGATATGTCATTTATCAATAAAAGATTCTCATGAAGTAACATTTTAATTTTTTCCAATATTTTAATTTTTTTCTGATTTTTTTTACGTGATTCATTTTTCCCATATATCCTATGCTTAATTTTGTATTAAATGAAATATTTCAATTAAAAATGGATACAAATTTTTGTCATTTTTTCATATGTCAATTTTATTTATTTATTTTAATAATTAAAATTCATTAAAAAAATATCTTGGGAAAGAAATCAATAAAATGGTCTTATTTTATGTTAATTTATTTTATAGTTCAAATAAGTCAGAATCAAAACTTTGAAATGATGATTTCAAACTTTTATTATTTTTCCTATTGTTATTGATCAATTATTTATGAAATAATCAGTTTAGTATTAAAATTTAGATATAGATTATCTAGAAAATCATTTTTATGATTGATTCACATATTTTATTCATCTTTTAAAGAAAAATAAATGAACAAATGAAATTGATTATAATAATTATACAGATTGTTAAACATATTTGAATTTCTTAATCTTATTTGATTATTATTGGTTGACAAGATAATGATTTGCTACCATAGGCCAAATTCTTCCTTCACATGGTAGCTTCATCATACATTTTGGAAAATTCTAGATTTTTTCTTGATAAAAAATTAAATTTATCATTCAATTTAGCTATAAATTATAAATGTAGGTCATTTTTTAAAGAATTGAAAGAATTCAGATTAATATAATGCTAATTCTTTGTGTATTATCTTTATATTAAAAATCGTTAGATGAAGATAGAGATATGAATAAAACAAATTGTGTATATTTGTCAAAGTAACTGAAAGTTAATTATTCAATCAAAGAATGAAGATTATACTTGAAAGAGTGCAATGTTATAGAATATTTGACTGAGAAATATTTACTCAAATATATAAAAACAATTAAAACATGTTTCTTGTTATTGTATGTTAAGAGTAATGTACAGAGTATGTATGTTAGCTTAATAATGAATATATTTCATACACGATAGATTTACACTTTCTTGACAATTTTTGTTTCCAATTCAAGTTACAGAAGTTATAGTCATGGTCAATATCATAATATGAAAATCTTGATCTCATTTTGACTTCTTATCTTATATATGTCATCTTTAAGATATTTGATTTACACCCATTGTTTGTTATAACACGAAATGAAATAATTCATACAACTTATATTACTACAACTCTACACGCACAGAAAAAATGGTGATAATGATGAGGGATATGATATATGACTATTTGTCAGCATTGAATAATAATTTACCTTTTTTGTGTCATAAACAGGTGTTAGTAATAATTTAATGTGTGATATCATATCATCATAACGTACTTCCTATTTTATGCATGCTGGTCCTTTCAGTAAATTAGATCGCATCATTTCTTATAGATTGTTTTATCTTCTCAACATCATCAGGTTGTCTGAAAATGCTGGAAAAAACTTTCCAGAAAAGATGAGAAATGATCAAAGCCGTAGCAATTCTGCAAAGGGGACGAAAATAACACTCATGTTTTGATATCCAGATATTTCTAAAAGATGGCGAATAGATCTAAAGCGCGACCGGTTTTGTTCTGTCCTGATCAAATGTACGGTCGGTCAAAGATGAGCGATCGCCCATCAGCTCCGCGAAAGGGGGAGAAAAGTTCCCAATTAGTCAGCCCTGATACATCGAGCGCAGCATCGGGGCCTGACAGACTTCCCATTCGTTCGAGCACACCTGTCGACGTGGCGCTCGACGTGGCACCGCGCGTAGTACGGAGACGAGGCCCAGCCGCCAGCCGGAACTGCAGTCGATTAGTTCATGCAACAGAGAACTGGGTTGCCGACACGGATAAATATGGCCGGCCAGAAAACATCGTGATTCCAAAAGAACGATGGCATTGGTCTATGCAGCATCTACGACCGTATATATTTGTTTAATCCCCGAGCGTACTGGAACATCGGCGTAGAATGTATTAAGAACAATCTCCTCTGCCTGAGCGGCATCGTCGTACATTTCAATGGAGGACTCGCTTCCCCGGACAAAAGGCCTTCACCCTCCTGAAAGAAAGGATGTCGTCACTGTCGAGATTCGAGACTGGCGAGCCGGATGGCGGCATCGCAAACAGCCTCCAACTCTCTGTTCCGACGCGGCGATCCATGCCTCTCCCGCCATAATATAGCGTAGAAGCGCACTTCCGTATACAGTACAGTACTGTAGAGCGGAGCGTACTCCAGAGTACTCGAGAGGAGAACTGATGAGGAGCAGAAATATGCGACCTCGATGTTCTCTGCCACCTACCACTACCTCGTACTGGTGAGTCTTATCTGATTCGCACTTTGATCAGTCTGTTTCACGACCTAGAGGTGACAGTGCGAGTGTGAGTGTTGTTTGGCTCCATTCAAGATCTGTCGGAAACATCCTTTGTAGCCCAGAATTACCGGTTGTCTTCGAGCTGCTGCTCATGAACCCCTGCAGGTGCTTCTGATTGATTTTGCAGGCGATATACCTGCTGCATGCACGGGTTTCCAGAGTTTACTCGCTGCTGGCAGCCTCGACTGGTTTTTTTTTTTCTTTTTTTTGCGAGGGGTTCATCGGAAGTGTTTGTTTTTTCTCGCTGATGATCCTTCTCAGCTCTGGATTCACTCGTGTTTGGACCCTTCCAAAGAACGACCAGGAGCCTGTGGGTTAGTTGTCGTGGGTCATAGGTCCAATGTCATTTCAGGAGTTGCTTTCGAGCCTGGGCAACAGCACGGCTGACCGAGATGTTAGTTCCCCGGAGCGAAGCCTGGGGGTTGGAAGCCCTGCGCCGAGGAGAGAGGGCCTCCGCAGTGGGCGGACCACTCCATCTGCAGGCGAAGAAGGCAAAACGCAAGTGGATGACTCACGCAACTCTGAAGGTACTGCTCCCGGTTCCGAGGAGCACATGCACAAGAGAGGGAGGCGAGGAGAATTGTCTGGTACTTGCAATGTCCTTCGACCGTGCTCGAATTGACTTGAATTTTTCTTCTGCTCATGCAGAGATCGCACAAACTTCGGCTCATAAGCATCGTGCATTGTTGTGGTCTTCATACATATATTAATAAATCTCCTGAGTTGTGATGCTTGTGTTCAATGAGATCTATTTGAATCCGTTGCGATGATTTGCTAGTCTTGTAAAATTATGTGGTGATCCTTGTCTCAGAAGCACATTGGTTTTTTTTTCTAGAGGAGAAAGATACCTCAATTGAACTAAGTGTTACTTTTTCTGGAGAAATCTCCTTTCCTGTGGGAACTGACCTCGGTAGTAGTTCAGGAACTTGGCTGAGGCGACATCCAAGGCGGCTGTCCTTCGATAAGGAACCGAGGAAAACATTTGAGGTCAAGAACCTCGGAGATCAGGATGTACCTGCTGGCATCTCATCGAGAAAGAAGAGGAAAGCCACGGCTTCTCGCAAGGAGCCGGTGGCGAAACTTAGGCGAGTTGAACAAGACGAGGAAATGGCAGTGGAAAACACGCGATCCACCCGACTGACAAGGAGGGGAAATGCTGTGACAGAACCTTCCACTCCACCAGCTGGTGAAAATCTGTCCAAGAAAATTCTGGAGGAGGCTGAGAGGAGTACCGATAAGATAGAGCAAGGGTATCTTTCTGAGGAGCCTTTTCCGTTAGACTGTATTGCACCCATGGAGAATCAGTCAGAGAACGGGAAAAGATCAAGGGGTAGGCCAAGAAAGTTCAAGATTGCAGCAGAGCAGGCAACTAATAACGAAAACTCTCCAAAGAGGCCCGTTGGCAGACCAAAGAAGTTGCAGGTGGCTGTTTCTAGTTTTACCCCTTCTGATGGAGGCGGCGATTCTTTAGTCATCCCAGATGGGGAGAAGACGGGGACAGATGTTGGTGGGAGTGTGGAAGAGAAATTGGGGCACGCTGGACTTAGTGTTACACCAAAGAGACCAGTGGGCAGGCCGAAGAAAGTGCAATCGGCACCGGCTGAGGAGAACAACTGTCATGACCCTCCCAAGAGTCCTTCGAAATCTCAAGTTTCTGTACTTGTGGACGAGGAAGAAGCTCCTGCAAAAATGACTCCTGAAAGTGTGGGCATATCCCCAAAGAGATCGAGGGGTAGACCAAGAAAACATCAAGCTTTGTCAACCCAAGAAATCGCATTCAGTGACCCCGCCATGGACGTCCTAGTTGAGGATTTCATGCAGACAATACCTAGTGTACCTCTAGAAAACGAGGAAGAGCAGGATCCCTGTAAATTGTTTTTGGAGGACGTAGAGCAAGTTTATCCGGTTGAAAACATCTTGGATGCTAAGCCCGATGTTACACCCGACCACCCAGAGAAAGCTTCTGCATGTGTCACACCTGACGCAACGGAGAAAACGTTGAAGCGGTCCGTGGGTAGACCCAGGAAGACAAAATTGACCTTTGACCTCGAAGATACTGATGAACATCCAAAGACGGAGGATGCCACCCAAGGTTAGTGTTTGTCAGTACACACATAGTTCACATTGTTATATCCACTTCGAGCTAATTGGAGTATTTAATCTAGAAGCAGCCACTGGGAACCAAGGCGAACCACTGATCACTCGAAATCTCACATTCTCTTCTTGTCTACTTGTGTTCAGATGTGGAAGATGAGAACCAGGGTGGGAAAGCGCCAGTCAAAAGACCAGTCGGCAGACCCAAGGAAATCGCACGCAAGAAAGGAGTAAGGAATCAAGAGGGCAGAGTTTCGAATGATGGAAGCGGGACCGCGGGGAAAAGGCCCGTTGGCAGGCCTAAGAAAATTGCCCCAGAATCAAGTCAGAGTGCGTCTGGAAGCGCGTACTCAGGATTTGACGAAGTAACGAAGAAAACCGGTAGGAAACGTGGCCGACCTAGTAAGAAGTCTGTACAGCAGCAGAGTCTTGAGGAGTCAGGAAAATTGAAAGGAGCTCGGGGCCGCGGGAGAGCAGCTGATAGACAGGGCGCAGGTGCTGTTAGAGCCGGAAGATCATCCATGAAAGATTCCTCAGCTCAAGAGACTTTCAGACGTCGTTATCTTAACAAAGTCGTCCTCGATGGGGTGGAGTTTAGGTTAGGTGAGGACGTCTACGTGAGAAAATCTGGCACCACTTGTTCCGAATCAGATACGGAGGTGGAAGACTGTCAAGTCTGCGGGGAAGTAGATGAAAAGATTATGATCGAATGTGACAAATGCCTGTCTGGTTTCCACCTGACTTGCCTAGATCCACCACTAGAAGATGTACCTGAAGATGACTGGGTTTGCTCTTTCTGTGAGGCTGGTGAGAAGCCTCCCATTCAGTTGTTAAACACTCGAGAAAAGCATCGTGCAGCTCGAGTGAAGCTTCTGGCAGCTGAACTTTGGGCTGCGCGTATCGAAAAGTAAGTTTAGGCTCGATGTGTCAGTATTTTCCGTCGAATTCCAACGTGTAGATTTAGATTTTCGTAATTTTTTTTGTCCGATCAGATCTGCATGATCATTCTGACCTTTATTTTTCTGGCCCCCCTTCCGCTCTAGTAAAATATCTTACGACTACTATGTTGAAAGACAATCAAAATTTTCTTTTCTGGAAAAGCAATTGGAGAGGCTTGACTCCAGATTTACCTTCAATTCTTGTTAACCTCCAGTATCGGTGCCACACTTAGAGCGACAGAGAGTAGATACACTGAATTTGTGAGTTAAGAGATTTAGAAAGACTAAATCTGTGAGAAGTTCGCTGTAGGATGTGGAGGGAGCGGGATGGTACGTACTGGTTCACTGCACGATGGTTTCTTATTCCTGAAGAGACGTCGACGGGAAGACAGAAACATACCGGGAGTAGGGAGCTTTTCCGTTCCAGCCAAACTGATAACAACGAGGTATTTCAAATGGACAGTCGATCATTGAGCTTCACACTTTTGATCCCTTGTACTTGTCATCAAAGGTTATGGATCGTTTCTATCATTTATATGAATTCTTATATCGTTGCAATGTTTGAGGTGGCTAAGTGCTCTTACAGGTCAAGTGGAAGATGCTTTGTAAGAATAACACATTGTCTACAAGTTTTACGTCTAGCATTCAATGATAGCGATGTTAAATCTGTATTTAACGGTCGCATGATGTCCTGTTTTGCGAATATACTTGTGTGTATATATCCTAACGCCGCTCGAAGCCGATTTACTCATGACTTCAATTGCCCAATGCCGACAGCATTTGTGCTCTCTGGCCCGGACAGAAGGTGCAATTCGTATGTTGATTCTACGCTCTACATCATGCCCATGCCTTATATTTCAGCTGTGGGGCCTTGATGCGCTTCACGTCTCTGTCATCGATGGTTCCTGGTGTATTTTACTCATTATCTTAGCCAGTACTGTACCAACCAGTTTTCAAATCATAGAAACTGACACGCTGGTGTTGTAATTGACTGATATGTGCAACGTTTTCTTTGGCTTCAACGTTATCTCTGTGCATTTTGTTCTGTTTGCTTGCAAGGTATCTATGTAATTGGGATTCTGAAGATTAAGTTTTGACATCCTACACTTATTGAGTTTCTCGGAGCATACAGTTGGACAAAACAATTGTACATGTAACGCGTCTGCTTTTTCTTTCGTAACTTCGTTTATAGTGACACCTGTCCAAACGGCCTGCGAAATATTTTCAGCCTTTTTGCATTTAATTTTAAAAATAATATTCTACTTTTTCATGGGATGTCACTGTCTAGGTCGATGCTACTATAGTCAGTCACTGGTACTGCATACCATTTTGGTTGATTAGCACATTGATTCATCGTTCTCATACACTTGTATCGTCTAGATTTAAATTCTGTTGACTGGCTTTTGTGGGAATCATATGCAATGCTCTTAGTTGGTCAGTTTCAGACAGCTATTGCTTAGCTGGTCATGCAACCAATGTTGAAGCATACCATACATGTTCCTACAGCTATCTTTCGGTGATCATTTATAAGCAGAAACTGTGACTGACTGTAGGAGTCTCGCAGCTTTCATTTCCGCGATCTGCTCAGAACACTAAAGAATTCTTTAGTAGCAATCAATCGTCTCTTGTGTTCGTGAAATGAAAAACTAGTATACTTTGCATTTCATGCCTTCAACCTTCACCAGCGCCTGAAGCTTGCGATTCTCTATTGTCAACGGCAGATCGGGGAAAGATTGATGGATTATGTCCGCTTGCGCCGATGTTGGTTTCCTGCTCAAATATCTTTATTTTGTCCTCATTTGCTTCTGCGTAGAATACTTAATCGTTTTTTACCATTTTGAAGAACTCTTATCGATCTTTCGAGCATATTCTGTCAATATGACTTGAGTGGCTACGTTCACAGCAGCTGCCTAGGTCAGATGATGGAGTCTTGTTGGGACACACACTTTTTGAAACGCTAACCACTGTTTAGAATAAATGCGTTTCTGCTCACCATTTACATTTCGACAACAGTCAGAAGAGCTGCTTCTACCGACAAAGACTCATGAAGCTGAATATTAGTTGTAACTTTTTTGCAGATGGACTCAATACTTCGGCATTGTTATGTTATGAGTCCTGATGATTACAAAAAGTCCGCTCACGAAGGAGATGATGTATTTTATTGCGAGTACGAATATAACGAACGGTGGTGCAGATTCAAGCGTATTGACTACGATAATGTAAGGCCTAGCACCTAGCACCTACCCTATTGAACGTTGGAAATTAGCCACTTAGCTGAGTCAATTATGGACGACAGATTTGTGTTGTAGAGATTAGTTGTTAGCTCTCTTTTATGGCCATTTACTTATATTCAATTTCCTGAGAGTTTCTCTCTATTTCTTTATTATTGCCTGTCTTAGTTGTAAAGATATTGTCTGTCGTAGCACGCCCTTTTGATTGACGGCAATGAGGACGATGATGCCTACAATCCATCGGATGAGTCGGAGGAGGATCTGGACGGCGAGGAAGAAGGGAGTCCGCAATCAAAGCCTGGAAAGAAACTCAAGCAAGCGAAGACTTCGAAAGCAGCAGTAAGAACTTTTATCTCTTTCAATGTGGAAAGTAAGAAAAGACTTGGCCTGATGGCTCTGGCTGAATTGAGTTGAGGAATCCTCACTCAAACCAGTGAGGATTCCTCAACGGTATCAGTTACAAGTTTTCTCTTCAATTACACACCAATGTTAGTAGTATTATATGAAGGTCTCACCAGATTATCCATATCTTCAAGCTACCCTTCCTTATACATTTTATCCACCTTCTCGGCATTCCCGCCACATGTGTGGTAAGTCGGAAGTTCGAGCTGTGAGCTCAGAAATTATATTGCTCTGAACGACGCTCTAGAAGCAGCTGTTAGGAATGAATCACTAACTAAAGAAATAATCTCTTTCTTTCCCTGATGCCGTTGATACTGCCCATTTGTACAGAATAAGCGCGAGAGTTTTTCTGGTGGCATCGAAAAAGTGGGGTCGAAAGCCGTTGTTGACCGTCCGAGAAAGAAGCCTCAATCGGACTTTGAGAAAGCCAAAGCCGCACTTACGTTATCTGCCGTTCCACCCTCCATGCCGTGCAGAGATGTGTAAGTCTCATGATGAGCCGCTCTTCCACTGAACAGCAGGTCTGATGATGAATGAGCTAGTCCAGGGTTCAGTGTCACTCTCAAGGAATAAGAATGTCGCCTCTCACTATCTGCAGGGAGAGAACAGAAATAGCTGCGTTCCTGAAGGATTCAGTAGGAGCTGGTGAAAATTGTTTAGGGCATTGTCTCTACATCAGTGGAGTTCCGGGCACTGGCAAGGTACAGCTGACCGCTTCTGTTCCTTACATTTTTCTTGATACCATGTTTCCCAGATTCTTATTCTGAACCACACTGCACACCCTCAACATACTGAAATTTATGTCACATTGTTACCTTGGTATCTCTGAAGCTTTTGGCTCGTGCATGTGCGTTCCATGGTGTGCATAATTTCACGAAACTTACGGTATGCTTCTTGTTTACAGACTGCTACTGTTCGGGAGGTCATCAAGGAACTAGAGAGCAAGGTGGACGCCGGTGAACTTCCTGCTTTTCGTTTTGTGGAGATCAACGGCCTGCGTCTTCCATCTCCAGATCATGTATACACGGTAAAAGCGAGTGGGGATTTGTCACAAGTCCTTGGTTGTGTCAAGCGCTATCCATCATGACGAACCATGCTTTAAGTAAGACGAAGTTTGTAGTTTGTGGACTAGGACTTCTGACCTTCTCGACTTGTTGCCATCAGGTGCTTCACGAGGCTCTCACAGGCCAGCATTTGGGCTGGAAAAAGGCTCTTGAATTTCTCGATGAGCGATTTTCAAGTTCTAAAGATTTGAAGGGCGCAGACGCTCGCCCGTGCGTCCTTCTTATTGACGAATTGGATGTGCTAGTGAATCGCAACCAATCTGTGAGTCTGATATTCTTTTCAGTAATAGTGATCAATGCCATCGAAATTAATAATCATATTCTATGAAAGGGTGATTATCACGGAAAGTGTTGATTTTTCACGGCAGGGCTGTAAGTCATAGGGTTACTTTCTGGCATTTTATCCCGGCACCGGTGTTCGATGTCTATCTCACTGGTCCTTTCATTTCTGCATTTTGCGCTTTAATTTAGTCAAATTGCAAATCAAATCTTTCTAGTGATATCAATTTATATTTGTGAACATACGTTGCTAATTGGTTCTTCTCCTCGGTCTGTCTTTCTCTGACCGAAAATCTGCACGGTTGATTGTCCAGGTTTTGTATAATATTTTTGACTGGCCAACCCGCCCTCAATCACGACTTGTTGTTATAGGTAAGTCAATATGCTTCATTAATTCTTGTTATACTAATTTTTGGAAATTAGAGGTGGTTCAGTTTCAATGTAGCTTTTGCTTTTGCGACCTTTGTTCTTGTGCATCAACCAGGTTGTGAAAATATAGTCTAACTTGTTTTCGCAACTCGACAGGAATAGCAAATACCATGGATTTACCTGAGCGTATGCTACCGCGGATAGCAAGCCGAATGGGTATGAAGAGGCTTGCATTTAGTCCGTATTCTCACAAGCAGCTGGAAGAGATCATTGCTTCTCGCCTGGACGGGGTTCAAGTATTTGATAAGCAAGCTGCCGAATTTGCTTCACGCAAGGTACGTTTGACTACTTCGTCTTAACTTTCTTGAATGGCGAACAGTATGGAGTGGTGGATTCTAAATTCAGTGGAACTGTAGGTCGCTGCCGTATCCGGAGATATCAGACGAGCCCTTGAACTTTGTCGAAGAGCTGTTGAAGTTGCCGAAGCCCGTATAGCGGAACATAATTCAAATGTCCCACCTGAAGTTGCTGAGAATCGTACTGATCAAGATGAGAACCAGCCGTCAAACACGGGTATCTAATGTAACCCGTTATCTCACCTTGTTTGATTTTTTTCCTCTTCGGCTTTCGAAGAACAACTTGTACGTGTTCCTTAACACAAGTCTGAAGCGCTCTTGTCGAGTGTGCTAGTTAGGCTCCAGTCTTACCATGATCTGTTTTTGGTAAGCTTACTGTGAGTTCTGTCTTGGTCAGTAATGATCAATGATGCGTGGCTGATTTTATTTACAGGTTAGTGAAGGCTACAAATTGTGTTGATCCTTAGTTTGTCTTTCGCCTCGGCAGTTGTTGTTACCCTCTGGCGCTTGTTTTATTTGCGTACCATGGCCTCATTGGGGCTCCGCGTGGAAATTAATTTTCATTCATTCATAGGACGCAGAGAGAGTAGGATGGCAAGGTGCATGCCTGGTTGCTCCAATCTTATCCCGTATTCCATGTAGAGCGCTTCACATTATAGTTCAATATCTAGTGAAGGTCGTACCGTCACAAACCGACGAACAGTATAAGATACTTAAAGAGACATCCATAATCCAGAGATGAGCTCTGAATTTAGTATTTATCCTGATTCATTAGTCACAATGTTTACGGGATGAGTATCAAAGTATTTTACAGAGTAAAGATTACTTACAGATCTTGCCGACACGAGGTCGGACCTTGGTCGGCTCTTGGACAATGTATAATTCCCTTCTCACGAGAATCAGTTTCAACTTCATCTGCATGTTGCCTAAAGTACCCAAGGAACCTACTTCTCAATGTTGCTTGCTTCGGTGTCCTATGCGAGGTGGCTCGAGGAACACTTACTTATTTTGTCTCAGCCTATTGACGCAAACATGATTTCCTCGTAGCTCTTCATTACAGTGAATCTATCTAAAGATTGTGAGGTCCTCTTGTCATTTCCCATACTTGGCTGTGTGACTGCGACTCACTTCCGTTTCCGAATCCTTAAATTTACTTGCAGTGCCCGAGGCAACACCAGCAACTGGACAGGTCGTGACAATGGCGGATGTCGATGCTGCAATCAGCCAACTTTTTGAAGCTCCACAAATTCAGGTTCATTTCTTTGAATGTTTTAAAAGTATAACTGGACAGAAGACTTTTGTCAGCTCTATATTCCGCGTCAAAGGTTTTCTTTCAAATAGGAATACGTGCTCTGTATCCCTATCTCTTTATACGATTTGCTCATTACCTGGAATTTATTGCCTTTCAATGATATTTTTTCTTCGGTAATAAGCTTTTTGTGACGGGTGGTGCCTTCTGTTTGCCAGATGATGCAAAGATCTCCTAAGCTGGCGAAAATATTTTTAACTGCAATGGTTTATGAACAACGGCGCACTTCCGTGGTAGAGACTACCTTTGAGAAGGTATGCGCGCAAAGCTTTAGTTGCCAAGCAAATGGCGAAAGTTCTATTTATACATCTATATGATATCATACTAAACAGGCAACGGTCCTCGACATTTGTCGGCAGTCTGTGGCACATGCCTTCCTACTGTAATCTACTGACTTGTTGATGTATTCCGTGGCATGTAAAACTGGATATCATCACTCCAAGCCATCCCAATTCTAGAAAATGTAGTCGCTGCAAAGTATTTGGATTTTGTGTTATTTTAATTTGGGACGTGTCCTTCATGTACATTATAATTTACATTTAGGGACAAAGAGCACGTACTGATAGCTGTCTGTTGCTGAGGTACTTTCTATACGCGTAGGGTTCCATTTGGAGATGAGAAATTCACTCACGTTGTGTGACATCTCTCCAGGTAGCAGCAACATGCTCAGAGTTGTGCGCCAGTAATGGGGAAGAAATTCCGGATTTTGACACTCTCTTAGGCATAGGGTGAGTGTCCAACGAGCCTTACACTATCCTGCAATAATATCGTACTCGTCAAAATGCTGAAGATGTGTTTCGTGTAACGTTTTTTGAACATATTATTGGTTTCAAATTGCCACAACAAGATGACATTGTACAACGGTAGATGTCGAGAGTTCTCGTCCTCATTAATTTCTCCTTTTAAATGTAGAAAGGCACGTCTAATACGTGTATGTGGTATTTTAAACTCCGCAGCTGTAAACTTGGCGCATTGCGCCTTTTGTTGTGTGAACCGGGAGCCCGTCATAAACTTCAAAAGCTACAGCTGAATTTTCCCTGGTAAGCTGGTTGAGAATTTGAATGTTGACTGCCAGTGCGCAAAGCATTAGATGATAGAAGTTTAGATATAAATACAGTCAGATGATTGTCATTGTATCGTCAAGACTAAGTTTCTTGTTGTTTTTCTGGTGCAGTGATGACGTCACTTTTGCTTTGAAGGACAGTGAAGTATCATGGTTATCGAAGTACTTGTAAATGAAGAGTCTTCCAGAGATTTGTATGTTGGGTGTGGAGGTTAAGGGGCGGGGTTCGAGTAAGGATGGAGTTTACCGTATACAAAAACGTAGGGACGCCCTTCGAGGCATCTTCATATCCAGGGACCCCTCCCCGTGCGTCTGTCATCATTATTACGCATAGAGATAGCCATATATCAACGTGATTACGAATATAAATGTGTTCAAGTTCAGCTAGTTAATGGTGCTGCTGAATCAACTGCGGCGTAAGCTTGGACGTTTTGCAAGGAGACAGTTGATGTATGTTTATCGTGTTTTCATAACCACGGGTCAGTAACAGGGATTATTCATGATGTCCTTCTAAGGACCGTGACTTGAGTTGAGGGAAAGAAAGCCGTTGTAATATCCGTGTGAAGATTTCTTAGGTACTGGGCAGACTTGGAATTGTCGTCCTCTGCGTTTGTCCGTATGTAGGGTCAATCGTTGGAATGACAAACTAACGCTTCGATTTGGAACATTCTGACCCTCTCAAATCAGGAGAGTATCATAGAGTTGCTGTAGTAGAATTTTGAATTAGTTTTTTATTGAGATTCGATATGGGATCTCGGGAGGTGTTGGATGGACAGCATCATTTGCCTTCCTTTAGGCGAATTAGCTGATATGAAGATGTTTCACTGGACTTCACTGATGCACACTGTTTTTGCGCTCGATGAATGCCAAACATCGAGGGTTGCATCTATTGCCTTGAATTAAACTTAGGACTTGTCAGTTTGTGCCCCCATGCGAGGAGTAGTAGTCCAGCTTAGAACTGAGCGTCTTGTCAAGAGTCTGGCGTTTTCTCTTGGATTCTTATCAGTAGTGATCATGCAGGACCGCTAATTTTGTCTGTTGCCGTTCATGGCCCCAGTTTAGATTGTTATATGTGAAAGTGGTAGACTTTAAAAGAGGCTCTCTGAGTAGGGGAACATTTCAACAGAGTAGTTCTAAACTACTGTGCAACATGTGTTCCAGATCCTTATGAGTCTAATGCCTCCCAAATGGTTGTGATCATAATTATTTTCAAATTGCATTCTTCCCTGGCCCTGGCACCTGATTATGAAATTCGTGCTAATGTAGCATTTGAAGCTAAAGGAGCAGAATATTGTATCCTGGCGTCAGGTTTGGCGACTTGGTCGCTTCAGCGCATCTGCCATTTTCTTAGCGGCATACGGAACCAAAGCGGAATGTACCTGAGATGCAAGCCTATATTGCTGTGTTGTGCGATCAAACTGCAGGCAATAATTATGGAATGGAATCACCAAAGTCAATAGCTCCAGAAATCTTGTTTGGTATTTGTTATTTTTCTAGAACCTGCTGACTAGATATTAGAACAGAAACTCGAGATTAAAAACGGGCAGACGGGCAGACATTGAAACTTAGAGAAATTTGGGGAGTGAAGGATGATGTTGTTCGTTGGAAACCTATGTGTAGTTTGTATATTTTACACTTCATAGATGATGTGAACTTCACATCTGGATCGTTGGGATTCACAGAAGAATGCGAGTGACTTATGTCATCTTTGGAACCGATGGGGTTCACAAAACACTGCGTTGCAAGAGCTGTTTGGCTCTTAAAAAGTGCAATATTTAGCGTGATGTGACAAAGGATCATTCATTAATAGTCTACGGGGATTAAAATCTTAAATGAATAAAGCCAAAATTCTATGAGACAAACAGAATGAATTTGGATTTGTCGTTAATAATCATACTACTTGAAGATAACAAAACAAGTTCTAAGTAGAAGAATCTACACCTCTTGAAATGAAGGAGACGCAACGAAAACGAAAATTTACAGTGAAAGATAGTTTAGAGTATTTTAGTACATGATGTCATTGTAAGGAGAGAATACCTACGGACAGGAGTAATAAGCAGCAGAAAATCATTTAGAGTATACTATCATTTGACGTGATTGTTTGGATGTGTATAGCAGTAGGCAGTGTTTTAACCTGGTGAATAACAGTCCAAATCATATACTTCTTTCTCAGTACAGTTAAAACTGTAACATTATCTTGTTTCGTAGACGTAAAGCTGCGTATCTAAACTAACTTGACATGAACTTTGTACAAATATCTTTTAACAGAAACATCAGACTACATTATTATTCTTATTATATATGAAAAGAAACATTTTACTTTTTATTTGTAAGATCACATCATAAATTCTTCGTTGGAGAAGCAAGGAGGAAAATCTAGCCATGAGATATTCAACGTCGCTTGTTTTTTGTAGTTGCATTTAGATGCGGTTGTGCCCTTCTCTACCCGAGGGGTATTAACTTATATGAAAGTGGCCACCAACTTTACTTCATTTGATGGAGGCTTGCTATAACAATCAACTCCAACGATACTCGCTTCCATTGCTAGTTATTCTCTCATCACTTCTTCTGTGGCCTCCCGGCCCATGGGATCTATTTATGCTTCCTAATTGTTCGCTTTGAAGATCTCTTGTGTGTTTATGTGTACAGTACAGTTCTACGGTGTTTTAACTTACATGTGATAGTTTAGTTCAAACAAACTAACATATGCTTGCCTCCTGCAAACTCACAGCGATTTCTAGGCATTTAACCCTTCCATTCTAGTGAAATAATAATTTTTTTGCAGTTTCTAAAAACGCCATAACCGTGTATTTTGGAATCTACTTTCAGTGTCTAGATATCCACTTATCATTCCTGAAGAACGAATATAAGCCGTATAAAAAGAATAAAAATGTAAGTGTAAGCCTCCTCAATTGTCCTCTACCCTATATTATGTCCTCTATCCATATGCTTTGTTTGTACTGACCATGAAAGGTAATATTGACCTCCCAACTGCATGTGTACATTATGACTGGACTGGACTGATTCTTCTTAGTTGGTACATGCTGAGTCCGTTTGTCTATTTGCAGGTGCATGACTAGACATACATCTCTGCCTTGTCGATAGCACATGGTCCCTGCCTGCCATCACAGCTGAACGTGTGGGTGAGATGATAGCCCCGGACAATTTGGAAACGCCATTTCTTTCCAATCAAATGAAGTGCGCAGTTTAGCATTCGACGCAACCCTGTGAACATCGTGTGAAGCAAACAAGGATTTTGTAGATGCCATTTGAGCTGATGAAAAGACCAATATTTACATAGAAGGAGATTGTGGTTATGAGTTCATGTCATGGGTCCTTTGGATGACGAGATCCTTACGAAAGGACAAACTAAAAAGCATTTGTCAGGAATTACAGAATGAAAATGGACCACTTGCGAATGCATGGCTGTGCTTGAGAAAAAGAAAAAAGTTAGAGAACAATCTCCCTGTTGAAAAAGACTTCTTCTGTGGACTTGAGTTGATGGATGATTGTTCTCCTTTTTGTACATCTGGGGAGATGGCGACTATATCCTTCGTAGTCGTTGAGAAAGTGTCACTATCAAACTGAAAAATAAGAATTTGAGAATGAATCTCGTCTTGTGAACCGAAATAATAAAGCAAAACGATGGTATACTTGAAGGGTTTAGATCCCAATGAAATCAATTTTAAGGTGAACCTGTACTACTTCGCCTTAAGATTAATCGAACTAATTAGATCAAAGATTCTATTATATATATGAGCATTTAAACGTAATTTTCTATATACATATATTTATATACAACAAAATGATTTCACAAAATGATCTGAATGAATATCAGTTGCATGAAGTAGGTTATAAGATACATAAGGAGAGTGATCTGGTCTAAATTAATGAATAGGTTTGCAGGCTCCTTCATCCTTTAACCACGTTTAGCACATTGTGGACACCTAGTGCCTAAATTCACAAGTACATGACGAACGTATTTCAGACAACTTCAGACTTCACAGATCGTACCAAGTGTCTTCTACTTATACTCAATTGCCGAAATGTGTCAAATGAAGACCGTTTCGATTTCGCCGGAGCATACTTTTGCTCGGGAAGAGTTGTCGAAAGTTTAGAAGACTGCTCAACAAGCAGAGCTTACTACGGCAAATTAAGTAACTAATATCTCCGCAGATGCGTACTAAATGGTTTCCACTACGTTGCGTGCTGCAAGAGTTCGGTTGAATTATTTATAGGACTCCTGCTGTCAATTTCGATCATGCCTGAACAAAAAAAATCCGCAATATGCTGGTGGACTAAAATTTGGGCAGAGCCCAAACACCTTATGAAGGGAAGATTTCAATTTTGTCACATGCCACCGTTTAAGATACAGGATCATCCGAAACCATGGCCACTTTAATAAGGCCGCACCGCACCTGCACAAACCAGCGGCGGGTGCAAACTCAGAGTGTTTTTGCACCAGGAATATTTACACAAAAACGTACACAAGTTGTCGATGCAGACAGTTGCATCAACGAGGCGATCGAAATCATCGCAGCAGATGGAATTCATTCTCGCGAAAGTCTCTTCATTCTTTTCACACGACGACAGGTGCTTTTTGCACCTCGCTGCCGCCCTCGAGATTCGACCCCGCATCTGCCTAAGTATTGAACCGCATCCATCCGCAAAGCCCGCGCTGCGTCGCCAGCTTTAGACGACAGGATAATGAAAGACGCGCTAATGTCGCAATGCCTGATCGGAATCCGGCTGCGGCGACAGGTAGGCGCATTGAACTTCCGACGTGGCACTATCAATGTCCCACTTGGCGACGAAGAAACGGGATGACTTGTCCAACAACAAGGGATTTCAGACATTCCCGGTCGGTGGCCGCTTGAGGAAACTACTACACGACAAATCCAGATATTAGTTCTGCCATTGGAGAGAGACGAGAGGAGCCTGGAGTAAAACGAATTTAGATTCAGTATCAGTTATTCCCGTATTATAGTATTGCGAATATAGAGTGTGCATAGATAATTCTCTTTGGTTGTTGACTCGGTAGATAGGTTTCATTTCTTTATTTCTTTCATGCTTTGTTCTTAAGAGAGCAAGATAAAATATTCAACAGATAAAGAAAGATATAAGATTTATTTCATTTTTAGAGTATTTATAGTTCATAAATGTATATGTGAGATGGGTGTCAAAGCGTCTCAATTTTTGCATGTGAGAGTATATAAAAGTGTCTCGCATCTTTTTCCTTGTATTGAGAATAGCTTCAAATCTGTAGTGCACAAAGATATTTCATACTACACTTGTGTGTCATATCATTGTATTTTAATTTCAAATCTGTCAATTGAAGATGTACACATATGATCATTATAAAATTAGATCTGAGATTTATTTCCTTGAGATTCATTGAATATTTACATGACTTGTTGAATATTCCAAGAGCAAAAAAGTACTACTTTATTTTGATTCTAAGAATGATGTATGTCATTGCTTCGATCCAACAAAGTCTGAAAAGTTGAATTCTATTCTTCCTTGTGAGCTTTCCTGAGAAATAAATTCTTCAGACTTCGACTTGAATATCTTCTTCACACTCTCCTTGCATCTCGATCACAAAGACTTTGACTTTGCACGACCAACCAACTCCCAAGACTAGGACAGTCATGGCTTTGGATCGCAAGTAAAATTGCAACAGTCAAAATTCACAATCTTGTCAATACCCTTATCAATAACAACCTTCTCTCACGAGGACCAGAAGATTCTCATCTACTTCATCTCTTCATTTCTCTAGTCTTGATACTATGAACGACAACATGTTGATGATGGAGTGCTCCAAATTCTGCACTACAATATGGCAGGGCTATCAGTATCTTATGAAGAAACAGTAAACAGTGGACATTGTTAATATTTGGGGTTTTTTCCTTATAGCAGATTGAACAATAAAAAATATGGCAAAGAGGGCGGCCCCTATCCCCGAGTCCGAAACTCGATCAAGAGTATTTCATTCAACATGTTTCTTTTGGTAAACACACAACGCTACCTTAAGAAGAGACTTACAGGTCATGTGATGATTATTTAGGGTGGTCCTAATGTTTGTACACAGTTTGGTGTTAGAAAATTAGGGAATTCATGTACTAGATCCTGATTATGCTATTGGTTTAAGTCCAACGGCTTCATGTCCCGACTTGGTGTCAGCTCTATATACGGGGAATTACCATCCCCTATGCTAAATTATTTTGCCAGACGAGAGAGCAATATATTAAATTTTAGTCTTTTGATTCATTCACCTTCAGCCATTGCGATGAATGTTTAATCACAATGGCTGAAGAGACGACGGGACGTGGTAAACTCCGAAATTCCGAGGTACGTCCAGCGAGCGACGTAGAAAATGACCACGGTAAGATGACGATGTCCGAGGTGGAGCTCCATTGTCTGATGTGGCAGGCCGCAGGCTGGATAAACGCAAGCGGTGTCCTCACGATTCCCGTCGTAGATCGGGAGGAGCAGTCAGATCTCAACGCCGTAGAGCCGCCCGACGAGCGGGCCCCCAGACGCCCCTCTCGACCAAAAAATAATAGCCATACTTTCCGAGTACATCATAAAACCGAAGGTCCTAGAGCTCCAAAATACACAACCTTATCCACAATCGCGTGTACCCGCCAGGCTCTCCCGACAGAGAGTTCACATTTCGAATCGCCCCCAGCCTAAACTCGATCTTTACTATTTTACCTTTTGCCCGATCCGGTTTACTGCTTCCGAAAAGTAACTGCCATTTACGGTTCGATTAACGGCCACTTAAGCAGGAAGTGGGCTAATTCTCGTCCGACGAACGGCAGAAACGGACTAGAAGGCGAGCGAAACGGCCAGTTTCGGAGATAAGTTACGAGGCTCGTGGGTGATGCTAATCGGAGGTTAAGGCTCGCGAAGTAAATCAAGCCTTAAGCAGCGGTGGTAATCCAGATTAGCCGATTGCGCCGAGAGTCCTCGCGGGGCATGCGTTCCTGTGGCCAGTGCAGGTCTTTACCCATATCGAGCTCCCGGTCGCTCGTCGCTCGGCGCTCGTAGAGTACTTAAGGCCTCAAGAACGAGACGATCCGCTCATCGATTCATCATCCAGTGCATTGATCTTCTTCTTCTTCGTGTGCTGTGTGGACATTTCGGTCTTTCTCGTGTCGCGCTTCCTCTTCTTGGGTTTGTCCGTGTCGAGGTTTGGTGATCTTGTGGTTGAAAGTGATACTCCGACTTGGATAGCGTGGGCGAAGAGCTTTTGCTGTCAGGAACGAGGTGAAAGCGGGGCTGAGATGGCTGTCGCGAGCTCAATTGCTGCTGTTAGCGCCTCTTCCTTGCGCGTTTCGTCTGCAGGCCTGTGCGTCCCCGGGGAGGCCGATGGTTTGTGCTTGAGCTCGGCCGGGAGTTTGGCTCGGCCCACCGGCTTGGCACATCAGCTTGCACGGGGGGTCGAGGGATACAGTGGAAGGAGGGTTGTAATTCAAGCGTGTGCTCGGGAGTACAGTCGACGCACTGTGAGGTTCGTATTTTGTTGTGATTAGCTGATGCTTTTCTGTTGATAAAAGAATGCAAAATGTTTCGTCATATATTCAGGACTTGCTAGCGATGTTTCTGTTTTTGGTTCCGAGGTCTCGCCTGTAGCAGCTTCTGAGTGAGGTTCCTCATATCCTGCTGGCATGGCGTACTTCAGCGCTATTAATGTGGTCTAAATCTTAGCTCCATACCAGCTGTGTTTTGTGGTATGGAGCTAAGATTTAGAACACACTAAATGTTTCGTTCTTTTCGACCACTGTTTCGATCGCTTTCGTAGTTTCTGTAGCATTGATTGCACTGAGTTCGATACAAACCTTGGCCGCCGAGAAATCAATGAAGAAGACCGGCCTTCTCAAAGGTGGTCGTTTTTTTCATTTTTCCGATAGAAGGCAAAAACTGTCTGGAAAGTGCCCAGATCTAAATACCAGTCGTCCCTTGAAGATTATGAGTGCTCACGAAACGTGAGTTTACCGTATGTAGATCGAACAGATGCCAAGTCCTTTACAATCTTTCTCTCAATGATTCTCTGTGTTATGCCTTCCCGCGAGGTTCATTCGTTACTACCTACGCCAACCTGATCCGTGCTATTCCGCACTTGGTGTGAAAGATGATCTGTTCTCAAAGATTGACGAATGATAGTGCGCAATAAATTACTAGATTGGCGAAATCCATCCATTCAGTCGTCAAGCTGCAAGTATCCCATCCTCGTAGGAGATGCTTACTACAATTCACCAAAGATGGATAATAAGGTCAAAATGAAGTTTTCATCTAAACCTGTACATCTTCCTCTGGACGCAGAGTCCGTGTGAACAATTCGCGGGAAGAATATGCTGTATCCATCAGAAGCGTCCCCGTTCAGGTTGCGCGGGAGCTCCTCAATGCTGGGCACCGCTATCTCGATGTCCGGTAAGTTCACACTGATCTCATCTGTCTTCCAGTGTCACGAGCTCTAGGTTTTGAAATCTGAATAGGTGGGACGAGTAAAGATTTGATTCCAGACATGTTTCAGGTACTGGGCGTATGCCCCACATACTCTGCATCTTTTATGTACAGAATTCGCTTTTTTCAGTAAAAGTCTCGTCTTTTTCTTGGTGCACATACAAACTCATGCTCCGCAAGCAGCGAAGAGGGGTGTCATGATGAATTAGTACCAGTATCTGACATACTCACTGGCCTTATAGTACTGTCGAAGAGTTTGCCGCGGGCCATGTGGAGGGAGCTGTGAATGTTCCATATATGTACAAAGCTGGAGCAGGTATGCATCTCGGACTGAAAGATATTATGTGCTTTTGGAGATATATGTATATCTCCGGCTGTGGAGCCTGGTATTATTTTCACGGACTTGAAATCCATGAAGTTTCGAAAAACCTTTTAGGCAGTCCGAGACTAACCACATCAACAGTTTTTGTTCTGTCTTTGGACACCGTCATGTTAATATTTTGTTTTGCTCTTGGTTCCAGGGATGTCCAAGAATCTCAGATTCGTTGATGACGTTCGTAAAATCTTCCACAAAGATACTGAGATTGTCGTGGTGAGTGACCAAATTGTTGATTATCACAATGAAATACGAAGGGTATTGATTGAGACTAGTGAGCACTTTTTTCTACATCTGACATGTCAGCGAGAGGTATGACCGAACGTTAAGCTCACAAGTCGTAAATATGATTGCAACAGGGCTGTAAAAGCGGACGTAGGTCACTGATGGCAGCACATGAATTGGAAGCAGGGGTAAGTAGCGTTATTATTTGATTTATGTCAGAATGTTCATGATTGTAATTCCACAGTCGACGTTTATTAACATTGGCGTGCTAAATGTGATATTGTGATGTGTAAACAGGAATATACCGGAGTCACCGACATGGTTGGTGGGTACGATGCGTGGGTCGAAAGTGGGCTGCCTGTTAATTCTTTGCAAGGTTAATCGTTGTCGAAGTCCACGAGGAAGAAATTTGTTGACCTTTCCACCTCAGGACGAATGGCACCAGCATATTGTGTGAACGCCATCTTCGTGAACATGGAGGTTAGTTTGGGGTTAGTAAAGTTTAGAGTAGACCACATATCCCAACCGGGTCGGAGAGCAATTGTAAAATCTCCCTAGAGTGAGGGCTTTTAGCTGTAAAAATTCAGTCCATGTCCGTCCTTCTGGGATCACTGTAAAAAACCTTAAGCAAACTGTAAAGTGTACAGTATATAAAAAACAGTCCAACAGATGAAATCTTCTCGTCAGTAAGTCTGCCCTACTTTTTCAGAGCACGTCGCTTTGTTTCGCGAAAAGAAGAGTCCTCGTGCATGTGTTCTCTGCCTAAGAGAAACTGAGAAAAATAAAACCACCTACTTGAAAGCAAATCATCACCGTGAATGTATTTTGACTTGAATATCTATGAATGTATAATTTCATAGTCGTATGGAGAAGTTGGAGAAGAATTTAAACTGTAGCTCCCAAGGAGGAAGTAATTTCCTAGCCCGCCCGATAAAATAAGTAATTAAACGTTCAATTACTGCCTCTAAAACTCGTACACAACGGGATGTGGAATATATATGGATAGTGAGACGTTATGTATACACGTTTATCACACGATGTGAATATTGAGAGGTTTGAATACTGATATGCAACGTGTAAGACAATATACAAAATGATGCTAAGAAGAATACTAAAAAATGACAATCAGAACCTAAAAAACTCAACCTAGATGGACAGAAATGAAAACTTGCAAAGACTTTACTCAATGGACAAACTTTTCCGAGTATATATCCGTTTGGCTAGATAAACTCCTCTCTAAGGTTTTGAACACTTCTTGACGATTTACTTCATAGTACCAAAATCACCGAATACTCAATGATGTTCTACACCAAATTGAAGTCAAGAAGAGTAGTAAGATTAAGTGTTATGTCATTTTGCTGACGACATGTTGCAAAGATCTATAAATGTATATTTATTATAAATTAAAAGAAATTATCTTCCTACATACTTGTATTGATTATACCTTTTACTTCTTGAGATTTCTTTAAAAGTTAGAAATTTTGTTCTATTAAATGAATTTATTCAAATATCCATATATTATCATATTAATGAATTTGTAAAACTTTCCAGAAATTCATAAAATGAAAAGATATCAACCGAACTTTACTACTTATATATTTAAACATCTCTCTCAAAAATCACACAACTTTGTGAACTCTAATGACTCCCATATGTATTCCACTGGCGGATATCCAGCCCAAGGAGATAAAGCCAAAAGGAAGCCAGAAGGTCGCATCGTGCCCAACTCGTATGGCCAGCTTCGAATTCTCGCCGTGTCAGGTCTTTCGAAGTTATTGCTGAACCTGCTCTGCTAAAGAAGGAAATTAGGCCCGTAAAAGAAGACATCCGTTCGAAGATATTGGGCGAGTTGTTGGTCTACATAGCCCTTTGGTGTTACATGGACTACAGAAAGGGTCCAGTTTTTTAGTCCAGTTAGCTGTGGCGACTGGCACCTACTTACCTCGCTGGGACTCATGCCAGTAAGCCTCATCCTGATAATATGACCTTTCTTAGATTTACTTTTCCATTCTAAGGCGTTTTTCCACACAATAATTGCTCGAGTCAAGTGGAACAAAGCGTATCCATAAGGAAATCAAATTTGAGATTGTGTCCCGCAACAACGCAGTGTTCTAACCAGTTGAAGGTTCAAAGGGTCAGCTGAATGTTCAGTTGAAGGTCGAGCAAGGATTGTTGTTGTGGACAATTATCGGTCAGAGTGAATATTCAATTGCAGGCAATTCACTACAAGTGTTCTCTTGTGGACTATTATCGGTCAGAGTGAATATTCAATTGCAGGCAGTTCACTACAAGTGTTCTCTTGTGGACTGTCCACTTCACCAATAATTGAAGGAGTTGCTTTACCATGCGGCAGTTCACTGGAAGGTTGTCCTCCACGTGCCAGCACCCCATGTTTCCAATGTGTGCACATTGTATCCATGTTTCATATCGAACTCAAAACGTGTTTCATTCCTGTCTCTACGAATGTGTCGTTCGGGTGCACTCATCCCGATCGATACTGATCGGATCGATTGTCTTCGGGTTGAGATTGAAGTGCAGCTGCAGGAAGAATCTTTAGTAAGTTTTGCTCAAGGAAGGATCACTAAGAACCATCACAGCAGTGTATACTGCTGTGATCCCTAATCTTTGCAAGTTGGTTCGAAGACTGACGTTCTGTGAGAGTTATATGGTGCAAGTGCACCATCCTAACGAAACGAAGTGTTCACAATCACTCACTTCCCAAATTGGGCTTCTGGAGAAAACGTTGGGGCATCTTCTGCAGACAGAGCAATTGTCTCTCAGAAGAACAACTTCAGGGCAAACGAATTCCTCTCTATCATCCTCGTACTTTGTCAATCGCGCTTGGATTGACGTAATTGGATCATCCTAAATCTACCAAATTCTCGCATTCAATGTAGAAAGACCCAGCACGGACTATTAAACATTCACCTCGAACTCTCTACAATTCTCAGACTCTGTTCCAAAATCTGTAACTTGATTTCACACACATGAAGGAATCCAGTACTGACCTACTGATAGTTCATCGCTTCATGAATTCTTCTTGCATTTGCATTCTCTCTTAATCCCACCAGAAAGGACTTTCCGAAGAGAAGTACATGTCACAGCATTTCTAGATTCATATATAGAAAAGTTGGACCTTTTCCTTTCAGATGTGCAGGACAAAGGGCTGCTGCAAGTTCAAGCAAGACTGATCAGATCAGAGCTCATTGCATTAAAGAACATACTCAGATAACAAGATGCCTCCGTGCCTCTTGAACAAGCTTTAATACGTGAAGAGCTGGTGTGCATGTTAGAAGACTCCAGCAAGAAGCTGCATCGCTTGATCGCGCCACAGCTCGTGTGCACTGTCAGTCCACGCGATGGTGAGAACACTCTAGGAACCTCGTTAGTCCGGTTTACGAGGGTTTCTTTTCCTCTTCGCCTGAAACCGCGTTCACTTTTGACTTTGTCATAATCTATTCGATCACTCGATGTCAGATCGACACGAACATATGTCACATTTACCCTCGGGCTCTCTCTCTCTCCCTGTTGCAAGTTGAAGTAGAGATTTACTGCTTCATGCCCCTGGGAAACAGAACTTATTCCTACAGTCCCAAAACTGAATCACTTACTGTAACCCCCTAGAGGTCATGAGGTCACGAGAGGGCTGCAAGGGTCAATGAACACAGAGGAAGCGTTTGTAACAAGAGTCCAGTCTAGAATATCGTGGAACTGAGTCCAGCTGAGTTCCTTACTGTCACCCAGTGCAACGCTTTCGCCACTCTCACTCACTCACAGGGAGAAAAGTGCCTTCGTGATCAACGATATCAATTCATAGAGTTTCAGTCACAACTCATAGCTGATCGAGCTGTCCAGAATGATGAAAATAAACCGGATGAAGATTACAACTCATAGGGGATAACTAGAGAGCATGGATCAATTGGATAGCTCTAATTTGCAACTTCACAAGAGCCCTATGTTTGACGAGAAAAAATTGCATGGAGTCAAGTTCGAAATGATTAGATTTCACTTTGTCCGTCTTAAATATCCTCGGTATCGCAGACATGTGACGATTACCATGGCAATCGAACAGAAGAGCAATGATGGCAGCTGAAAATGGAACATGAGACATGTCTCTGAGGGAGAGCAACTGAAGACAGAAGTTGTGACGCTGAACTGAGCGAAAGATTTGACTTTTTGAAGAGTGATACGTGCTTGGTTCAGAACAGAAGAGCTTGAAAGTGCTGACACAGCATTGTAATGCATCCCGAGGTGACCGTGAGATATTAGACAAGTGCCCACGAATGCGAACCAGATGCTCGCGGCCTGCAGTGGAAATGACCGTAAACCCTCGGGTTCAGGAGGGTTTAGGATGACTCTGGGGTAGGAAGAACCCGCGCGGTTTCTTCTTCGTTCGTCTTGACGAGGTCTCCCCATGCCCTTTTGTTATCCACTAGGCCTCGATTTAAAGTTGGAAGTAGAAAAACTCTGCAAGCTGAATCTCTCCTGTAGCAATGACCTCTCAGGGCGTATTTGGAACTCGCAGTTAAGGAGAGTTATCCCAAATTTAGAGTCTTTTGCATGTAGCTCCTGTCTCCTTTGCCACAATATTACTGCCATCGTGACTTGTTCGCTGCCTCTCACTGTTCTGTTCCCGGAATAGAATCAGGTCATTGACCAGATTCTGAAGGCACTTGTTGGCACTAATGCCTGTTTCTCTTAGCAGTGAGTTGTTGCTGTCGTTCAGTGAGCAGTCACAGTGCTTCTCTGCGGGCGAGGATTTGCTGCAACGCATGTGATGCTATCGAGAAGCCAAATCCATTCGTCCTCCACTACCGATCGACGGAGACCCAGTCAGACGGAAGGACCGCACACCACTGCGACGACTGCCTCGACTGAGTCTGAGTCTGAGTCTGGGGAACTAGACCAGTGCCGGAGTGAATCTAGAGTTCGGATCCCTTTAGTAAGCTTCTCGTTGACTAAATGCACTAGCGTCCAATAGTGGACTTAAGTTTTGGATCTGAAAGTCAGTGGACTCCATAAGTTAATAGCCTACGGTTTTTGCAGCTCGTGTCGCCCCATGTCGAAAGACTTTGACATTTCCGCCACTCGGCAAAACGAACATTCGTTGCAACTTGTCTATTGTTGGGTGGACGAGTGAATCGCTTTCCGTGTAGTGACTACCCTTTGCATCTGTGCTGCGCCGGTGGAAGTAATGGGGAGCCGTTTTTCCATCTCTGTGCGTCATCTGAGCTTTACATTTCATGTCTACATCAAACGACAGTCTTCTTGTCATTGGAACTGTTGTCACCACGTCTTGAATGTACTCGGTCTCTGAACAGATCGCGGGAAGAAGGGCACAGCAAGCGTGGCACAAAAGCCAATCCATGTTGCGGAGGCAAAACTAAAGAGTACAAGTTTTCTTCCCATTGTCCCAGTAGGAAACACACGTGCACATTGATGATAGTTTTCATGATGTTACACGCGTAGTAATTTTTGCGATGTCATCATCGAGAAAAAGCAGTTATTACCCGAGAGTCTACCGAGATCTCAGGGACCAGGAAAAATGATGTTCAAGGCCTTATTTCTTTCTTCGTTCACACCTGATACTTGATGGATATCTTCTATGACGTTTTAAAGGATGGATATCATACTTCATTATCATAGATAAAATATTTTTTATTTGATAGATACATCCATCAAGATTATGTATCATAGTTCCCTAAACCATAAACCCCAATATTATATCATCATTATCATAAGATTTGTGAACATAGACAGATTGTTTACTATATCCTGAAGACGATAGTTATTCACCCGTAACATGCTGCATTGCCAAGGACACATTTTGCTGCACTTGCAGTACGTGAAGAAGAGAATGGTTGTCATGTAAGGGCAAGCTCATGGCTTTCATCTGGAAGATGCACATCTGGGGGTCACATCGGGACGTTCTCACTTCACAAGGGTGATGAGGCAATGAGTTAGCTTATCCCATTCTATGCCAGAACATGGGCCAGTCATGGACCCTTTGCCCAGTCGTTGGAACAAAAACAGCTACAGCTACATAATGTGTTGTGGATGGATCTGTATGAAACGACACTAAACTTTAGCTGCAAACCTCTGCACCGTAACTCTGGACGCAGAAAGGATAAAAACATCCACTGCAGCCACACAGACTTCTGTTCAAAGGCGTGGCCATCATCGATTCCGCAGCGATGTGATGGAGTGACCTCTTGCGACTCTGCTGTATAATGTTCCAGGCCTCTCGAATCTGATCGAACGCTGTTCCGGTCACTCGAAAGATTCCCTTTGACTATGGGCACACGCTTTCTACATCAATGTGCTTGCGGTGCAATCCAATATCATCCCAACTTAATGTCAACCAGGCCATGAGTCCAGATCGCCTAGATCAAGGCACAAGAAACCAAGGAGTTTATCCACTAGATAATAGATCCGAAGAGCATACTGCATCGTTCTTTTCCTTTCGATGAGATTGAGTCAAAGGATCACTTCAGTGATTTACCAAGAAAAACCTGAAGTGGTTCCCAGCTCTCGCCATGGAAAGCAGAAGAGGCGGAAAAATTTCTCGGCCCCATTGTAGAGATTTTTCTCGGTCCATCCCAACCTCGAGAGTGTCGCCCTGTAGTGAAACTTTGGTGCAGCTATGATCATCTTCCCCATTCTTCTCTGCCAGTCATGATTTAAGTGGTTTTGAGCGAGCCGAAAGAAACCGCTAAGGCGTTTCATTAGAAATTAAGAATTCAAAACTTCTCTGAGAACTATGTAATTCTTATGAAGATATCAGCTGGCAGATTCTTAACGCCGAAACCACTAAGCTAACATCAACACTTAGATAGGCATCGCATCAATATTCCAGAGCAAGAAGATACTTTGAAGTCTAGCTGGTGGGTCATCATTGCGTCAACCTCAGGATTGTTGATACATGAGAAAATAGAACATTCGCAACGAGTTGACAAGTTGTGACACGGCTACTGATCTTTCGTTGACATTTTAATTTCTCTTGTCTCTTTGGGAACTCAAGAACCCAAACTCAAGACAAGATCCCATACAACCGCCGAAATCTGAAAATATTGGGGAGCTGAATTTAGATTTGGACGAATAGAGTGGTGAACAATGGAAAAGGAAATTTTCTAGAATAAAACATTAACAGTGACAGTCATGTCTAACTGGTGTTCGTGCATCCAAGGCATCTTATTAGCTTCCGAGGCCTTGGTACGTGACCTGACAGCAGCCATATATTAATAAGATGGAATATTGGTTGACACCTGTACATTGAGTTCCCGACAATATCTTCATGGTGTTAAATATAATATGAAGTTGTGTATAAGTTGAGCCCTAAGACAAGAAGTTCCAAACTTCAAATTGCAGAGGTGAGCGCGACAAAATGTTTGCCTTCGAAAGCAACGCTAACGAAGATGGAATGTCAATAAAGTTCCGAAAACAAAGATATGTTCGCAGTCTCTGCAGGTTTTCTTACGCTGATCCATGCTATGCACAAGCCTTTCTCCATGTTTCTTAATGGATCGGCTATGCATTTGAAGTTTTTTCATACAGATATTGTATTTTTTGTTTGTTTGTTTGAGGGATTCAAGGGATGTATGTCGGTTTCGTGAAGAGTGTAGTGGGTTATTTATACTACTCGATAGACTTGGAAAAAGGGGGGCATTAGCAAGGTCTATGAGTGTGCAGAGAGTATAATGTAGTTTTTATGATAATTGAGTCATATTGAGATGTGAACACGACCTTTTCACAAGTTCTTGAAATAAAAATGATATCAAATTTAATCATTTAGCATATGTTAGTTACTGCAAATCCATTTCTCTGCAAAATTCACAAGCTGATGGAATACATAGAATTTCAATCAAATTTAATAATCCTTCTTTGAATGCCACAATGATATAATAACACTTTGATCTAGAGTATGTTAGATATTTCGAATTGTCATGCTACTGAGGATAGGCCCATCTCTAACTCTTGGCTCTATTATGCACAAGGTCTTACGATCCTTTCTGGAATATTTCTCGGTCTTTTCTCTCATAAGAAGATTAATTTCAAGGAGTGGTTTGATATGCGATCCATGAGTACCATGTCAGAGTTTTTACACTAACACTAATATTTGCAATATTTGTTCACATGTCCGTTAAAGACCCGTGATATAATTCTCGTGAGTGTTTTGATATCGATACACCAAGATCGCAGGTACCCAAATCATCTTGAGGTCGAAACCTTCATAAGTAATGCTGACATGGTATTAGCCTAATGTCATTTATATGTTAATAGCCTATTCCAAAGAGGGAATTTTTTGAATAGCTTGTAATAATTTCACAAGTGATTATTTTGTAGCGCCATAAGAATTCCTTATGGCCTACATCGGACATTTAGACAATGCTAAACTCTCAACTCCAAGCTTGGATTTATCGTTTATGGCCCTTTGAGGTGATGTCCATTTAGACTTCATATTTGGAGACAATCTACCTCAATTCAAGGTAGACAGTATATTGGTAATTTATTTTTCGTTTTCTAGACAACGCTTCATTTCCACATCTATCACAGTTCTTAAAACTGGGGTATATCCATTTAATTGTTCTAAAATGTGCTTTTCTATTTTGTTGAAAATAAACTGCATCGTCAGAGAACATACACTGTTATGAACGTTTTTTTTCTAACCAATCAGACTGTGTGAAAGCACGGTCAATCTGGATTGGACTAAATAAATTGCGGTAAAATTTATTTAAGCTTCTTACTTTTCATGTACAAAGTCTGATCTATTTGACGATTTATAAAATCACAATAGCGACATGAAGGAAAGCTAGAAGAGGATATAATGGCTTCGAAAATACTGCTGCCAAATGCCAAGCGTTGAAATTTCTATAGCTTTGAGGCAATAGAATTGTTGGATTAAAGTGATTATGAGTACTGATCGACGGGGATTATGGAAAGTTTGCGACCAGACCTGCTGCTGCTGCTGCTGTTGAGTGTACTCGCATAATTCATCCACATCTAAACTTTTGAGAGCATCAGTTACCTCCATGAGTATCACAACTGCACTAGAGAAAAGTTACTCCACGAGCCGAATGAACACTGGAAGGGAGTGGGATGAGAACCAGATGAGAGTGAGATGTCATGAGATCTCATATCTTTAATGCAGTGATTTAATGAAGCACGGTAACGATTCACATCTAAGAGAAAAGTAAAAACTGAATGACGGATGTAGCACGAGCGAGCTCCGCGTTCCTGTGGTGCCGAGGTCTATATATTGGAAACAGTCAACCGGAGGTTCGCAGCCTCGACGGGACATATATAGCTCGGAGCGAGACCTCACAACCCACAAGGCACCATTCAGTGAAAAACAAAATAGATAGCAACCTCCCTCGTGTACCGATCAGACCTCAAGTGATCGGACTGAATTCTTCCAGCTGCGGTTTCGGACACGCTCGGGACCTCGAGGATTGATCGATCGATCGAGAACTTATGACTACCATCGTCAGCTCCGCGCAGGACCTCTGGACTTCATGGACTTTGACGACGCAAATATGTGTCGGGGTCGCAGTGGTGCTGTTCTCGATCGTCGTCATGAAATCGAGCAGGAAAATTAAATACAAGCTGCCCCCTGGGCTGCCACAGCTTCCTGTTATCGGAAACATGCTCGACATGAGAGGCGGAGAGATGCATGAAAAGTGGTGGCAGATTGCGCAAGAAAAGAAGTGGCCTATCATGAGCTTCAAGTTTTCGAGTAAGCTCATGTTGATTGTGAGTACTCCAGAGGTCACGAAAGAGATGCTGATCACCAAAGGCAACGTTTTCAACTCTCGGGACAAGGACACTTTTCTGAATCTGGCCCTGAGAAAGAGCCCTGACGGTAAGAGCGAGACGGGCGCACTCTTCACACCCCATGGCCCGGCATGGAAGGTCACCAGAAAGATTATGGTAGCCGGACAAAACGAGTTCAAAAAAAACGTCGGAGATCAATACATCGTCGACACGATACTGCCACAACTGTACTCAGAGATCGCCGGTGAAACTTCCATCGACGCTCGCATTCGAGTCGCCAAAATGACCGTCATCCGAATCCTGCTCGTGTTCGTATTTGGTCCTGGAGCTGAGCAATACGCTGATCAAATCGTCCCTCTGAATGACGACCTCTTCCATGTGGTCGACACCAACAACGCCATCGAGTTCTTCCTCCCACTTGTCGGGAGGCAGATGTCTTGGTTGTACTACAAGATTTACCAACGTGGATTGGTCGCCCGGAAGTATAAGCTCTACGACAGCATCTTGTCTCAGCGCGGAATCAAGTAAGTGAGAACAATCTGGTTGGTACTGTTGTTGCAGCAGAGGGTTGATTTCCAGACTATTTGATGAGCCTAGCATAGCAGCTGATCCCGAATTCGTTGGCGAAACTCATTTTATATTAATTGTACGAAGTGCTGAGCCCTCTGAATGAGTGTCGGATCGAAAATATGGTTCTGAACCTGGTACTCATTAATTTATGCTTTAGTCGGCCAATTGTTTTCATGCGGGAGTTGTAGCCAAGCATCTTAGATCAGTATTACCACTCTGCTGCTTGTGACTGTCTGCTAGTGAGTATATGCTTATTTAAAAGAGATTGTGAATTCAATCCTTGATCTCCTGGCGTGTAAGTCAAACCAATCGGTTTAATCTCACCGTCATCACGAATATGGTTGTCAAGCAGTCAATCACTCTCTAGTGATGTGGTAGGATATCGGTCTCCCGACAGAGTGCTGTAGCGTCGTCTGACGTGCTCATTCTCTTTGCATTTGCTATCAGGTACAATCAGGCGAAACAATGGTCTTTGAGTGATATGGTTCAGCTAGCCGAGAAGAATGGCGAGATCAATCACTATCAAGCACTACAGATCTTCGAGGAGTGCTTCTTCGGAGGCCAGGATACAGCAGGAGGAGCTATCGAGGGAATCTTGAAAATGCTGGTGGAAAATCAAGAGGTGCTTGTCAAGATCCAAAAGGAGATGGATGATGTTGTCGGTGTAGGGAAGCAGTTCAGGCACACAGATGCCGATAGGCTTCCTTACTTTCAGGCAGCTATCAAAGAAGGTCTCAGGTTACATCGAGCTATCCCCGTTCTCACGCCTCACGTTGCCCACGAAGATACCACTCTGGGAGGCTATGACATTCCAAAAGACACGATCATCACGGTAAATTTGTGGGGTTTAGCTCGGGATCCGGCGAGTTTTCCAGATCCCTTTGAGGTGAAACCTGAGAGATTTCTCGGGAAAGACACGAACTTCAGCGGAAATGATTGCAAGTATGTCGTCTTCGGTGTTGGACAGCGAATCTGTCCCGGTCAGACTCTGGCTCTCTTCATGGTGAACGTGCTTGTAGGAAGTCTTGCTCAGAGGTACCACTTTGAATTAGGGAACGATTGGAAGCACAAGAGAGATGCAGGTACTTTCTTCAAAGAGTTAGCGCTGCACCTGAAGCTGACAAAGAGGCATGGTTTCCAATGATTCGCATCAGATTTCGAAACTTCCAGGGACACAAGGTCATCATCAGACTACCGACCACAGACCACATAGCTCCCACCAGATCGCTCATGACAAATCTTTGTAAATATAGTTGGCATTGCCAGGATTGTATAAACGATATTTAGGAGTTTATGAATTTCCATCTTGTACAGACTCTTCTTACCCTCTGTTTCAACATCTCATATCTGTTTTCGTCACATGGATCGTTAAACGTTGAATGCATAGGATCGGAAGCTAAGCTTTTGGAGCTCTGTCAAAGATATTACGTTGTAGATCTTTCTCCAATTTCATCACTGATCACCTCAGTTTGCAGCATGAGGTTTTTTAATCTGCTGACTGTTATAAGGGTCTTCAGACCTATCTTTGCTCAGTCTGCCGAGAGCAAACAACACTAGACTCAGATTACGTTTCTGAACTGCATTGTGAATTGATGATCGTCGTCGAAACACGAGCACTTCTGCGGTTTCTTTCTGTTTTTGTCGGAAACAGACCTTCCCCGAAACATAACACTCAAAGAATTGCAGAGGTGATCCATCTCAGCACCTCCAGCAATTAGCTAGTGAGCTCTACCTTCGGCTCTGAATTTAGAATAGGGCTGTCCTTTGAGTCACCCATAATTCACACATGAGCTTCATCAAACCGGCAGTAGTGATATCTGAAAGGGTGCGGCGAGAGGATATGCGAGGAGAATCATCTTCATATGCTCGCGTAACATTCGGCACGTCCAACATCAGTCCACCGGAAACAGTCGCAGTCTCCATGTGGAGGTGCAATTCTAACAACCCCGCAATCTGAACAGACGTCAGCTCTTTTGAACAGGGCTCGTGGAACATCCCTCAATCTCCACGATAGATGGCAACATGTTAAACGGCAAGAGAGATCGTCGATTATCTTATTGTATTTACCGTAATCTAAAACTCCAACAGACATGCTTCCGTATGATGAATATCCCAGGTAACAGGGAACTTCACAGTTGACTATTCAGGCCTGCACGGTTTGCGCTGGAGCAATCAGTTCCGTGGAAAACTCTCTCCAGAACAGTAGATCCCATGCTCATTTCATACTTGTCATTCAGATAGTATCTGAGATGTTAGTGAATAGCTCCCATGATAACATAGTGCAATTCCAAGAACCCCATATCATATTGGCACTCCTCCAAGTTGCACTACGTGAAGACGGGCGTTCTAAACTAACGCGTGTGAATTGTACATGGAATCTACTGGTCTGGTATCTGCGTAGTGCAACCACAAAAACCACTCAAATTCTAAATTCATTTTCGCTGAATGGATTTAATTAATTCACACAGTATCGAGGGTGTGTTGGGATGGAACCACATGGCGAGGATTTCTGTGACCGACAGTACGAAAACCTCAGAAGCTGAAAAACATTACGCGTTCATCACGCAAGGTGCTGTTGAAGGAAGATTGATCTGGAGGAACTTTTTCAAACCGTTCTCCTTGGTCGGTCGAATCGTTGAGGAGAGTCCGCATAAACATTCATTCATTCCTTCACGACTGCAGTCGAGCGGTCAACTTGACAAAATGTGTCATTTCCGGAATGCATTCTGTAAATTAAAAGTATTCAGCTAACAAATGCATGTAGGAAGCCTACAACTAGCTGTAGGGCTCTTCCAATTGAATCCCATTGCCCCCGTAGTCTTATCAGGGTCCGAATCGAAAGTAGAAATGGGACGCTGCTGACCAGCGAGCACACCGTTCTGCATCAGCACAGCATGAGGCTTGACTGGGCCACGGCGATGGCTGGGAAGGTCGCCAGGCGGCTCCAGCCGCCATTTTACCAGGATATTTTCTCCGTATCCTGGTATCTCCGCATCCAGCAAGTCCACTCGTCGATGGGCCCACGCCCCCTTTACCTCACCTCGTCCTTTGCACATTACAAGCTTCCCATACTTTTTCAACAGGTATCCATACCATCCAGCACTGAGACGATGAAACCAAATCATGAGCTAGCCCCACAAACTAGGATCTACGCCACAAACGTGAATATGTCCGATAGCATCCAAGACATCAATAACAGTTCTTGGCTGTAGTACTTGGCTCCCCTGATTTGGTTCCAAGGTCTCTTCAAGTCAACTTGTCTGTGCAGCAACATGTCAAGAGTGAAGAATTGGTCTGACATAGAAGCTCCACCCACTTCAAGTGGGTGGAGGTTCTTGCTTTCACATGTACAGCTCTGAGTTATCAGGGGGACACTCTCACTAGCAAATAACATTAACTGGGCGTTCAGATATAAGCTCCACCCACTTGAAGTGGGTGGAGCTTCTTGCTTTCACATGTACAGCACTGAATTATCAGGGGGGTTCAGATTTGGAAGTGACTAGAGCAAGAGGGATTATTTTTTTGATAGGGAAGTTAATGCGTGGTGGTTGACAGGAAGAAGCACTTCATCCTGATGCGAAATATAAGGTAGTAAGCAAATAAATAATTCCAGAATATCTATGCTGTCCTGGTCCACAGCAATTTTATTTCTTACAGATCTCTGGAATACTGTAATAACAAGGATGGGTGCTATCACTACATCCCATGGAACTCATGGAGTGCAATGCAAGTTATCAGCACATAGATGTACACAGTTATCAAAAGTTTAGAACAAGTTTGTCTTCTTGAAAAAACTGTCGTCCAAGAGAAGTCTCTTGACCTTTGAATTGACTGTACAGGCCCAATTCATGTTCCAGATCCGGAAATCCCTGGTGGGCTTTTGTCCCGGTGTCTCTAATATGTGGTCCCACTCTCGAGGGAAGAGTGGGCTTCCCTACGATCAGTGGGAATCCCACTCTGCAACTGGGGCTATCAGTTGAAGAGTGCTCTTCATCTCGAACAAGTTTTCAATACCTCAAGCCATGTGAGTAAAATTATCTACTACCAACATCCTGACGCCGTTTTTCCCAAGGTAAGGATATAGAGCGTTCAGATGTCACACACTAATGCCTCGTTGGACTCTTACTTCAGGATTCCTGGATGACGTGGAGCACACACTAATTTGGAGAATTGGGAATGAACACTGAAGAATGACGGGATCGAAGCTCACGCGTTTTGTAAAAAGAAGGAGGGGGAGCAAGTAATATAGCAATAAGGATGGGAAGACAAGGAATGGCTCGATCCTTTGGGTGTGGATGAAGGTGTTTGTCATCCAAGGATCCTATTGATGGTTGGAATTCTACTTTCAGCTCACTCAAATATGAGAGCGAGGCGGTGCATTTAGATCCAAGCGAGAGTGCAGAAAGCCCCTCTAAAGGGGACTAGAATTGGGACCAGCTTTCAGTCAGGAGGTTCTGGCTTCGAGGAATTCCGTTTTGGTCTTTAAGATCCAGTGCATGATTGTTTGAACGCAGGTATTATCTTGTCTCTCTTTTTCTGTTATGGATTCCTTGCTGTACACAGTTCCACGAGGCATTGTCCAGTCCACTACGGCGAGAGTAGGAGAGCTTTGAAGCTCGATCTAGAATGTTGCTCACAACTGAGAACTAATGAACTTCGTCAATATCCAGGCTAAAACGGTATGCTCGAAACTCATCCCGACGAGCGTTCTGTGATAAGTTCAGATTATGGTCCGCATGGAGTTCAGACGTAATTATTCTCCCTGCTTCCTTCAATCACAATCAGTTCCATCTGTTCGGTTCAGTGACCTTGTCGTCTTCACAACTTCCGAACTTGACCGGGAGTGTTGTGGCCATAAATTAAGTTGGAGTCAAAGGCTCGAAGTCTGTCTAATCATAAACAAGCAACTTTATTTCACAAGCTCGCAATATTACTCGATAAACTCGATAAAATCAGAATCGGATCCAAGAATGCTAAGAACGAAGGATATCATCTCAAGCACGAGTAGCCAAGTTGAAGAAAAAGCAGACAAACCGTTCGACTCGATGGCAGCTTGTTGTCAAGTAAGCTACATTGAAACTCCAGTCGCGATGAGCCACAGGGCTGCTATCACCAGCATTAGCAACCCGGTGGCTCCTTCTCTCCGGTACATTATCCTGCTCAAGGCCTTCATCACTTCTTCTTTGGTTAGAAGCTGGCCGAAGACGACTGGCCTTGTCGTCACTTCTTTAGAATTTGATCATGGAACTTTCATGATCAAACTGAAACTGAGACTTAAAAGACTATGTTGTCTATTGGGATCAATGCCAGCAAGATAATGCTAACGAGTAAAGCATGCAGCCTCGATGGTCAGGTGAGCCATAATGTGCTAAAGGTACTCATACTGAAGGCCTGAAAGACACACAAAATGTCAAAATGATTACAAGTACCCTCGTTTTCTGGTCGATTTGGATCCCCATTCTCATTCAGTCTCAAACTTTCAAAAGGTGTCGCGTTTCATTCCATTCCCGAGAAGAAAAGACCACTGCACAATTTTGACCTTACCTGTAGGTGTTTCTCATATGAGTCTAGTCTATTTTCATATGAAGAATGATCTCTTGTTATTAAACGACATGTACTTAATGCTCGCGGTATCACATGTTCAACAAAAAGGCTCCTGACCCATGAAAGGTTGCTAAGATAGACTCTAGCATCCTTCCTCCTAGCTCCTGCCACAGCCATACGCTTTTTTAGTGGATCATGTAAAAAACAGCTGATGATCCGGATTTGAGTTTGATGGAATCCGAAGGAGAACGAAGCGAACACGACCGTAAAAGAGATGGGACACACTCATTCACGACATCATTGAGCTTTACAGAATGTTTCATATGTAAAGGTCATATGATGATGTCTGACGACGATTCGGAGTCAAGACAAACAAGAAAAAAGTAGTTATCAAGTAAGGAGGTGGTTAACGTGAAGTTATTAGCATCAGTCCTTTCAGTTCAGGACTCGGTACAGAGAGATAAACGAGCTGTTTAGCAGCGTTAGAGCTTCTGGAGAATCTTGCTCTCCTTCAACGACTCGTCTTGTATACATGTTCGCAGATACTACGAGGAACTCTCAGAGTTTGCACAAGAAGCCTGATTTGTGTTTACAGACATCAGTCTTTTCGAAGCATCCAGACCTGAATCAGTAAAAATTCAAACACGTATAGCTAAGGTAGCAGTGTAAGACAACACTACACGAAGCCTGTTTCTCCATCTTTAAGAAGGAGAAACAGGTTTGTCATGTATACAAAGTCAAGAATTTGCCCATACAGA